TTTTAATCATTTTTCGAAAATTTTTGCAACCGTTATCTAGTTTTGATATCAATTCATAATATGTAAATGAGGAATAATTTCATATATTTTTCTCATTCTTAAAAGCTCACTTCTTTTTTTCAATACTTTTGCAAATCCATGAGTATATATTTTATTTAAATTCTCATTACTACTGTTCTATACATATTTTCTCACGAACACAGCTAAGCGATATTAATTTTGTATTTTTTTTATTAAACTCTATTTTAAATTTCCAAAAATATCATTATTAAATTTCATTAAAAGCACCACTACTTGAATAAATTATATATATAGAAAAAAATCATATTTATTATTTAAAATTTTATATGATAAAATTTATATGATAAAAGAATATTTCAAGATAAATATTTTTACTGGAAAAAGTATTTTAATCCCAAAGTTTGAGATTGTAAAACTAGTTTTTTCTCCAAATTTGATAATATAATAAAACTTATGTGTTTAGAGTAATAGAGGGAAACAAAAGGATCAATTTTTAAAATTCTATTGCAATAGGTTTGTCGAAAAGAATAATGGTGATTCATTGAGAGATAATGCCAATGTAGTGCACAAAATAATCACTTTTTAACAAGAGAAATGCACGAGAATCGAAGACGAAGACTCGATATGTGTCTATAGTATCGAACTATCTTAAGCATCCCCAACTATGAGCGAAACTCGTATATGTCGATTAGCCGGTCTTACGCCCTATCCCCGCAGCGGAAGCGTGCATTATGCATCATTAAAATCTGCGGGTCGTTTGAATGATTTGGCCGTTGTTGCGGCCGGTGCGCTGATCTAGAAAGCGCCGGCGTTTATCCGCCGATTGTGGTCTAATTGCCGGCCGCATGGACGGCTTTCGCGGAACGATTGCTTTATTCCTCACACCGCGTCACTTTCTTCCCGGCCGCGACGAGATTCGGATTAGGAATAAGTGCGAACAAATTCGTCGCGGTCCGAGCGGTCAATGAGGTCAATTCTGTTTCCTGTCGTGCGCGTTCAATTACTTATTAGGCCCAATGGGACGGACACACGCTCGCGATATGGCAAACCGTTCGCGTGGCAGTGACGTGGAAATAATTATATTTTATTAACTGTTTGTGCGAACTCGTGAAATTGATATTGCGAGCACGAGGTCAGCGCCGGCTTTAGATCGCGATTATTATAGTGCTCACGTTTCTCCGCAATTTGTCTCATTTGAACGAATTTGCATGTAACACTGAAACCGAGCAGCCGGATTGAAACAAGTCGGAATTATCACATTGAAGCGTACTGTTAATTATGGAGATCACTATATAACAGGAATGTATTACCTTATTATGCGCCTATCAGTTTGTGTAAAATTAATTTCAATGGCAATCATAATTACTGTGATCGATAGTATTATTAATTGAGTAGTAATATTAATTGAAGACTAATGGCGTTAATATTGACATTAATATATTTGAGAGTTAATTTGTTTTATTTTTTCAATATAGTTGAAATTTATAATAAGTAATTATTTAAATATTAATAACATAAATAATAACACAAATTTTTATCCAGTAAAAAGTCTAGAAAAAAGTCCCAGATGAAAAAAGTTGTTCTATCTAAAGCATAAACATTATTATTTTGTGACTACTGTTTAAAGTTAACAATTTGATGTAAAAATCATTCTCAGTTAGATATGTTTGTTTGATTCATTTATGTATACAAGGTTAACTCGATTAACTATTTTAATTGTTTGTTAGGATGATTTAATAACGCTTAATTGTTGCGAATTTTATTTGTGCATGTTTTTAGAGTTTTAGACTACACTCTTAAAAGCTAGTATTTCTCGAGAGTATAGTTATTCGTTGAAACAGGAAAATTAATTTTAATTCAAAGAAACTAACGAGTATTATATAATTACAGGTTTACAAACATCGGAAGCATCTGACTGGGGATATTGGGGCAAAAATGGTAATTATATAATGATTACGTCGAAAGTTTTATACGTTGTTTACATATCCATGCAAATGTATTTATAATTCACCTATTAACATCACACAATGCCGAAGGTGCATGAAATATTTCCTAAACTTAAGTTTTTATCTAAACAGAAATTATCGATATTAGGCCAGGGTCATGGAGAGAATGATATGCTTACACATATCATTATCTTCCTACCTTGCCAGACAGTTTTATCGGAAATTTTATCTATACAACAAAATAATTTTATCTTAATGGTGATAAACCTTCCAAAAATGTACGAAGAAAATACCGATTGATATATAAAATCGATCAAGTGAATGAGAAGCTATTTCATGCGATTTCAATATCGATGTTTGCGAAATTTTATTTGCGATAAGCATATAATGTGATACAATTTTCCTCATCTAGCTTATATGAAACTTACATTCAAATCATTAGCGACCTAATAACAACAACCTTGAATGTCAGTTAAAGGTATTTGTACATCAAAGTCAAGTATGTGTATATTAGTGTATAACAATAAAACAGCTTCAATCATTTAAGTATAAAAAATATATTATTTGATAATAATGCACCGTGAGACTTGAAAATACAAGTAAATTTTCTGGGAAACATTATAACTTTATTACAATTTAATATATTTATACATGTTTATTATACTAGAAGAATGCGTTTTATCTCATATGTTTTATCTACAAACTTCAAATATTATTGCTCAAGCGGTATACGTATTTAAAATATAAAAATGTTTTTTTTTTATATTACTATCTCTCTTCAATATACTCCTGATTATTTTATCTGTTATCCGAATATTTTATTATTTAGTATATATCTATATCTCAACATATGTGCGTAAATTAATATTACTGCAAGTTTAATCTATGTATTTTATAATTATAAAATTTTACATAGATATGTCTTCTTAATTTCTGTTACAATTTTAATTACTGCAAATAAAGTAAAGAAGGCAAGTCACACGATTTGCTCGATCAAGAGGATCCGGGAGTAGAAGGTTTTACACGATTCTCCATTAGATCAGGTCTCTTGAGAGCAATTACTTTGCATCAACCGTGATTGTCGACAATCATCTTGAATATAAGAACTTTGCACTTCAGAATAGGCAAATACCGTGTGACGTGTACCTCTCGTTATAAATTTATTTAAATAAAAGGTACGAATAAACAGAAAATATATTGTAAAAAATGTAATATATGAACATATGCGTATGCAGGCGAAAAGTGCAAAAATAAGATTATTAAAGCAATATACGCGAAAAACTGTGCATTATGGAATTTTATTACGGATGACATATATCTTTTTTATTTCTTCCGTATATGCTGTAAGTCAACGTTGTCTTTCTGCTTCAAGCAGTAATTCGATACTAACCAATCATAGCGCGTTAACGTATCAATAATATTAACATAATTTCGGAATGTATTATCAATATAGACGAAAAACTGTACATTAGGAAATTTTATTACGGATGATATATATCTTTTTTATTTCTTCCATATATGCTGTGAGCCATTGTTGTCTTCCTGCTTCGAATAGTAATTCGATACTAACCAATCATAGCGCGTGTTAACGTATCAATAATGTTAACATAATTTCGGAATGTATTATCAATATACGCGAAAAACTGTACATTAGGGAATTTTATTACGGATGACATATATCTTTTTTATTTCTTCCATACATGCTGTGAGCCATCGTTGTTTTCCTGCTTCGAACAGTAATTCGATACTAACCAATCATAGCGCGTTAACGTATCAATAATGTTGACATAATTTTGGAATGTATTATTATCATTAAAATAGCACGTTCGCACGTTCAACGCTGCTGCGTCAATGTTTTAGCGCAAAAGTGTTTCAGAATGAGATAGCATTTAACGTTGACGTGTCCGTGGCTTAGATTTTGAAGACCCATAACATTAAGAAAGTATTGATAATATAATTATTAAATGTATCTATATGTTCGCGCGGCGCGTAAGAAAGAAAATGGAGACATAATGGGGACGCACTGACATTGACACTAATACCTAAAAGCGTATGCGACACTTTGTTTAATAGTCAAAGTATAACAATAAACAAAGAAAACAATTTAAACAAGGTTTAAAATTTATAAGGAAACTAAAGGCGAGAGTGTTTCGGATCGAAATCGCTAACGTTACATTCTCGTTCATCGTATTTTACTTCTCGCGACCGAAATGACCAATTGACTTGACCACTGCCAAACGGATGATTGACAACGACAGACTGACGAGTCGCGAATGGCAAATGGCAAGTGCCATGGTGATTGTAAGAAAGTGCCAGAGACTACGGGCCCTTGGCAACAGTTAGCGGGAATGATAGACTATTATTATAGATTTTGCGAAATTGTTATGACAAAGTTTCACATGCACCGCTAGCGATTATCTCTCGTCTAGGTAAATATCGATCGCCGAAGAGGCTGTGCCGACGAAGTTTCTAGAATGACTCAAGTTCTCAACGATATATCGCTATCATATAAACTTAGACTTTGATAAGACTGTCGCGATACCTTTGACGAGTCTATAGCGTTACTTTTTAAGCTATGAATAATGACGCTCGTATAATCTCGAACACTATATATAAATTATTAATATACCTATGTAGATTTTTGTGACTAATAATATAACAGCACATTTCTCTTTTTTTCAAGTAACAATAAACTAACATTTTATTATTAATTTAAGAATAATTTATATTTTGCTGTAGTTATAATTATATAATTGCAATCATATAAAAATTTTCATAATAATGTATGATGTCTGCAACTTATTTTAATATTATCAAACGCAGAAATATCTTTTAAAAAAATATCTTTTAGAACTTTTATGGCTCTTTAAATTGTAATTCTTTTAAAACTTATATGTCAATTCGATTTTTAATGTATTTTTTCCGTAGTAATAGATACTTTATAATATAAATATTAAATTCTGTTACACTTTGTAATAAGTGATACATACTGCTTAGATGTTACTCAAGTTTGTAAATGGTTGCATAGGACCAGAAAACTGGCCGGGAATATGTACGACGGGAAAGAAGCAATCACCGATTGATATTGTGACGGATGATGCCATAAGAATTGATCTCGGTGCTCTTAAAACCTATCGATACGATTTCGCGTTTCCTAGCACGCTGATTAACACTGGACATTCCGGTAAGTTACTGTTCCATCGGCGTTCGTGGTTGAACATTTCTTTAAAAACTTTGTCCAATATGAGATATTGAATCAATGAGCACGAGTCCGCAATATATCCCGCAATAATACAACTATATTTCCTATGTACTTTCAATATCTTTCAATTGAAATTCTTTCATAGTGCAAATTCAGCTTCATAGCAGTGTGCCAATCCATCTCAGTGGCAGAGTTCTGTCATCGGTATATATTCTGGAACAAATGCACTTTCACTGGGGCGCAGAGCATACCGTGGACGGTTTACGTGATCCATTGGAGTTGCATTTAGTGCATTACGATAAAAAGTATGCGAATTTTAGCGTAGCGGCGCAACACGAAGGCGGAGTTGCCGTGGTCGGTGTTCTATTTGAGGTGATAATATGTTACTCGTTTTTAGTGTTTTTACTTCTTTCTACAGTGGAAATTCTCTCAAGTGTACACGAACACAACATTAATTAATGTTTCGTGTTTCGTTATCATTTTCGTATAGTTATCATTAGATGACAATCCGGATCTGGCGCCGATTGTAGAGGCTACGAGGCTGGTATCGCATTGGGTGGGGCACAGCATGGCGCGCATAAGGACCAAGCTGATACCTTTATTATTCCTACCAAAGGATCATACGACGTATTATCATTACGAAGGATCGTTAACTACACCCGAATGCCAGGAATCTGTACTGTGGTTTGTTATGACTGAAAAACTCAAAGTGTCGGAAGCGCAGGTAATTTGAATATAAATAATAAATGTATAGAACGTTTGTTTCTGTGAGCATTAATTTTTTCAAGATATATGCTACATATTAATATTTTCTTTTTACTTGTAATTATTCTACTGGAATAATAAATTAATAATAATATATTTAATCCACTTGCAGATGAACGTATTCAGACACGTGGAGAGCAGCAATGGCACGCTAAAGTTCAATTACAGACCTGTTCAAAACCTCGGCAACAGGAAGGTGTACCATCGCCTAGAGGGCTATAATAGTGCGTCCTCGAGAATTCCCAGAAACATGGTCTACATAGTTCTCAGTAATCTTCTAGCCAGACTTCTACACAAGAATTTTTAATGTGAGAAGTGCCAAATCGGACTTGATGTTACAATGTCTAAAATGCGAGAGGATAACTATGTGATATACATAATTTATTGCACTATTTTGGAGAATGTGCATTTATTATGATTAATATACTACACGATCGTATAACTGCATTATTTGGAAAGCAATGTTTTTCACAAAAACATTGAGAGCTGTGAAATCATAATTAATTAATATTAATATATAAAAAGAGATAGTGGTTACAAATTGCGAAGAATCTCCTTCTCATATATGTATAATTTGCTTCAAAATTCTGTAAAGATATATACTAGATTCAAATTTTCCATGTTGTTAAATATTTAAGTATTAATTCGTGTATAAAGAATTCTTTTTGTACAATCTAGGTGATGTAACAAATACAGCAGTATTTGCTATTTAATATTACCTAATATATTTGTAACATGTCTAATTGATATTAATAATTAAAAATTATCGATTTGCGAGCATATACTAAAACCAAACGTAAAATGAGAGCGCATTTTTATAAAAGATATGTTCACATTTGTATGTATATGAAATATAAATTATATATGTTAAATTTAATTGTATATATACATATATATATATATATATATATTTTATATTGTTAGATAATACATTTGAATGTGCTTCTTTTGCATCTCATCTAGGGATTATGTATTAATAAGCTATATGTCGCGGGCAGCTATGCGTGGCACTATTCTATTGTGTACGGTGTCGCGATCTGCCCAATTCCGGAGTAACTCCGATCACGTGTGTACAGGTATTGGGAATATATCACTTTGTGTGAAGCAATCAAACGAGTCGCACGCGTTTTCTTTCTACTCCAATCCTATAATCCTCAACAATAATAATAACAGATTTATATATAGCCAAAAATGAAATAAATCTAAAATCATCTTGGTAATTAAGTATTAAATTCTGCTTCATTTTATATTTCTTTTACAAAAGCTCTAAATTAATTAAAAATTAGAAAATTAAATTCTTATATTTTATAATTAAATTATTCTGGTTTGATTTATTTCTTACTGATAATAAAGATATCTAAAGATTGGAGAAGATAATAATATGAAAGAAATAATTAATATATATGAAAAAGATAAATTTAATTAAGAGATACCTTTAATTAAAAACAAATTATTAGGATCACGAAATTCTTATTCTTAACTCGTTTCTAAAATTCTTCTATTAAAATAATAAAACTTACCGTAAAAATCAGTCAGCATTCAATGAAAATGTATACATTAATTATACCGTGGAAAAAATAGTTTTAAATCACTTAATATTCGTAGTTCGCGGCGTTCACCGTCTAAATTTACATTAAGAATTTCGTTACCATAATTATGACGTCGACGGTAATTGTGAACCTTATTCTCTCAAAAATAACGTCGGACGTTATCTGAATAGCGTTACGGTGAACGATGTGCAGTTTCGCTTTTCGACTGATAATGTGAATTTATACGGTGAACGTATCTATATAGTTCAGATACGTTATCATATCTGAGAAAGACGATATTGCAAAAACTTCCTATTAGATGATAGCGTCAAATAGTACTAATAATAATTTCTACGACGTCTCTGGTTTCCAGCAATTCTACAATGTTCGACCGAACATAAGATAATTGCCGCGACAATGTAGGGATTAATACGACGGACTTAATAATCATTTATGCTCTTGATAAACAGAATAAAAAAAATACAGGGCTACATTCAACGAACTGTCGCTCAATGTAGGTATAGTGAGCTCTCTATGTTTCTATTATAATGCAAAACCTCACGAAATTATTATCTTTGTCAGAGACGTGGTTTGACAAAACTTAATATTCGATATATCTGCACGTCAATGATCACAAGGCAAGCAGAAATAACAGAGAAATGGAATGAAGGGAAAGAACTGCCACCCTTCGCCGTTCGACTGATCACAATGTATCAGTAACAAACAGGGAGGAATAAAGGGAATAACAAATTCCTTGACATAGAATTAAGTATAATTATGGAATACTAAAGAGAAATTCACTCATTTTCACTTATGAAGAGAGCGGCACGCGAGACAGATATTATTGGAAGAGAGAACGCGAACAATTGAAGTTTTAATTCTTACACGCTGCGTTTTACCACAACATTTCACAATACACGCGAGTACGCGGCACGAACGGAATGAATTTCAGAAATGCGAATCTTTTCAACAGTCGAGTGAACGTGCTCTCGGGGAATTTATTACCGGTAGCAGCCGATAATTCGCGATTTTCAGTGATCTGTCGCGCTCACAGCGTCGTCGTATGGTTAATAGAATTGGTTCATACGATTGCGTTTGTCTTCGGGCTTTTTCTAGCACCGGAAGGGAAGAGTCTGAAGGACGGCACCGTCTGCGCCGTGGTCACTTTGGAGGCGTCTTTTATGCTTACGCGTCTTTACTCGCGCAAAAAGCTGATGGAGGAATTCGTACGGAAGATGAACGGTAACTTGCAAAATGCGGATGAAATTATGACGGATATCGTAAAGTCGGCCATAAAACCCATAGTAAAGCCGTTCCTGATATACGGAGTGACCAGCGCGATATCCATCACGATATGGACCGTACAGCCGGTTGCATTGGTTTTCGAGAAGTCTACCTTTTTCTATGGAGATTACAATTTGCCAGCCGCTTTCAGCGCCGAGCCGTTCTCCAGCCGCGTTCTGATTCCCTCGACCATTTTTATGACAATTGGCAGCGTTTATCTGTTTCTTAAGAAATTCGGCGTGGATGTGTACATGATGCACTTGGTACTAATGTTAACGGCCCAGTATCGATACACGGCGGAAAAGCTCATGATACTGTTTCGGGATCTGCAAAACTATCACGCTGAATCTCAAAAGGAACCGTATCGTTCTAGGGAAGATCGATGGATGGAAAGAGAATTAAAAGAATTATGTCAGCACCAAAATACTGTTTTAAAGTAAGTTCATAATAATGTGATCAGCTGATCACTAAAGTAAATAAGCGTTGAATAATGGAGTGAAATGCGTTTGAATCGAGCTATTAGAATTTTTCTTTGGGCTTTTAATTAGATGACAACACTTTTGAGTCAGTGATGACGTAAGGAAAATAGAAGTCTTTAAATCTTCTTATTTCTTACAGACCTTCTTAATTTTACTGTTTAAGAAAATATTAAAGCTTTTATTAGCTGTGTGGCTTTTTTACAATATTTTATACACTCTGTCCTTTCTTACAGCATGTCGTTTATATTAAAAAAACTTCTGTCAGTAAACTTCAGCTTACTCTATATCAACAACGTGTTTCGATTCTGTTTTATAGGTATCTTACTAAGCTCAGTGAGTACTAATAACTGATATATATATAACTGATTATAATTATAAACCATTATTCTCTAAAAAAATTTACCTTATAAACATAACTATTAATGTAGATTAATAATTTATCATACGTGCTTGCCCATCAAATGACTTGTTTTTAAAAATTAATGCATATTTAATGAGTATCAAAGTAAAATTTTTTAAAAATTACTTTTGCATAATATGTCATATGAATTAGATTTTTATTTAATTTAAAATTTAAATTGAAAACTTTTTAAATTACAAAAGTTAAAATGTGTGACCTTTGCTTCTAAATACATTTATTTTTTATTTGAAATATCGCTATAAGTGTTATATGCATCTTTAGGTACCATCAATGACTTTTGCAGAAGGAATTTCGGTCGTCTCATTTACTATTGGTTCGCTAACACAATTCTTTTTGTTGTGTTCTTCTATTCAAACATTATCAGACGCAGTAAGATTTATTACTTTACATTACGTAAATTACTTTTATTTTGTAAGCAATATTATACTGATATTGAAGAAGATACTAATAATTTTTTTGAAATTTATGTGCGTCCTAATCACAGATTATACGGTTTTTAATCATTACAATTATGTTCAACTATAATTATGTAAATAATAAAAATAATTATTAAGTATATGTATACGTCAGTGACAGGTGTAAATATATGTAATTTATAACTACAATCTATGACATATATTCTATATTTTTGTGCTAATTATAGAGTACTGAAATAACGGATAAAGCATTTAATGAAGGCTGGTATCAATTTGGACCACCAATAAAACGTACATTTATATTAATGATAATGGCTAACAACCTGGAATGCAGAATTGCAGCAATTGGAAAGTTTAACCTGTCACTGCCTTCATTCATGACGGTAAAATTTATATCTCTATTTCTTACATACGTCTTGAAAGTATTTTAAGCCTCTTACATCGTTTTTTTTAATGGTGTTTTAGATTATAAATCAATCATATTCAATCGCTCTCCTGTTCTTAAGAGCGACATAAAAAGAACGGTTTTTTTTCACACATGTTTAAATTCGGTAGATATTAAAATAAAGGATGGTTACTTAAGACAAAAACAATTAAGACAAATATTGTTTTAAAAATACGTAGATGAATTTGTGTTTAGCATAACAATTTGAAGATTACAGTTATAATAATATAATGATGAGCAACAATGTATGGAAATCGTTATATTGCTAAAAAATTTAATAATTGTTTCCTATCATTGCACTTTCTTACTTTCCCAAATAGAAAATTAAAAAAATAACTAAATATAAAGATTTAATTTGTTATATTTATAATATCTGTAACACTCACTTCAGTCAAGAAAATATCAGCACATATATAATTTAAGTATTAGATTGTATTGAAAAAAATAAATGTTTGTATATACTAATTTACGTCTAATTTTTCGGAAAAATCTGTGCACGACAAAAGAAACATACTTGTTACAGTAATATTGCCAACAATATTAATCCTTGTCATCTATTAATCATTCTTTTTCTATTAATTGATATTCTTATCAACGACTTACTTTATACTTATTGATCCGTAAATCGGCGAGCTTAAAAACATTTCGTACATTCGATGTTAATAGTCCTTAGATTAGTCATCGAAATATTCTTTTCGACGACTCTTGGGATATTGCTGCAAAACCTTCCGTATTTCTGGAATGAACAAAGTGCTATAAGATAATTGCTATCTCATATCGAGAAGTGAACTATACGTTTATAGTCGCAGTTTCGTGATGTCTAAATAAAGATCTTCTGTTATATTTAAAGATTATATATTGTTAGGATAATCATTTATAAACTCTTTTCTACTTTTCGGAAAAAGGATATAAAATATTTTTTAGTCAATACTTATATAGGCTTGTAATACGATTTTGGTTATAATTAATCTGATGTATGTATCAATGATTGTGTAATGATCATAGGGCATATGTCAGTAATTTTGAAAGAATTGTCTATCACATTGTCTATCACATGCATATCATAATTATGCGAACCACAAAGAAATAGAAATTTAAGAAAAATAATAAATTATTCTAATTTAATAGTCGTCTGCAAGTATATAACTTTCAAATTGCAATAGATTCTTATACATTTTTCTGAACAAATGAAAACATATACGATGAAAACATCAAACAGAAGTAGATTTAAAGATATAGTCAGTAGGTAAATGCTTTTTGCACGGTTAATATCAAAAGAGTACTTAATTCAATATATCAATATTTACTTTAGTTAATCGATTAAACGTTTTAATCGTACAAGTCGACGATTTATGAGTATGTGTTCAAAACAAACGTAATATAAAATAGAGAATTTTTATAAAACATGCGTTCCTATATATATATATATTAGTATATACATAGAAATATAAATCACGTTAAAGTTAATTGTATGACATGTATATATTATGCTGATTTATGTAGCTTTATCTAATAATAGCTAGATTTTCAGCCAAACGTAAAATGGATCTAAATATCGTGGTGATTAAGTTTAAAATTTTACTTTATTTTACATTACCTTTTTACAAAATGTTTTAGTTTAGGTACATATAAAATATAAAAATATACTTTCAGTTTATTGCTTCTCTAGTATGACATGTTCTTTCTTTCTGATATTAAAGTCGTCCAAAACATTAATATTAATGTAAAAGAAATAAACTAAATTAAAATTAAATTATTAGGATCACAAAATTTTTATTTTTAAGACCGTTTCTGAGAAATTATTTTATTAAAACATAAAACTTACCGTAAAGATCGGTCAGAATTTAATGAAAATGTATTAAATGTACCGTGAATAAAGTGGCCTCCAACCACTTAATATTCGTAGTTCGTTCGTTGTCCTTCTTATACATTGTAGATCACACTACGCCGATCAACGATAGTATCAGACGAGCACCGTATACTATCAAGTTCTGCGACGTCTCTCGGTTCCAGTGATCCTGCAAAGTTTGACGGAACATAAGATAATTGTCGTGACAACGTAGGGATACATACGAGGAACTTTAATCATTTATGCTCCTGATAAACAGAATCAAAAGTACAGAGCTACATTCGACGAACTATCGCTCAGTGTATAGTGATATTTATAAGCTTCTCTATGTTTTTATTATAATAAGATGCAAAATTTTATAAAATCATTATCTTTGTCAGACACATAAAGCGACGATATTCAATATCCGACACAGTGATCTACACAGTGATGACAGAGCAAACATAAAAATGAAATGGAGGGAGAGACATGTCCTTCTTTGCCATATGACTGCTCATAATGTGATAATAACAGACAAGAAGACATAAAGAGAATACTAAAGTCCTTAATACATATAAAATTAAGTCTAATTTTGGTATACTACAGGAAAAGTCATTTCATTTACAAAGGAAGAAGCAAACAAATATGATTGCTTAAAATGTATTAGTAACAGTCAGGAAGAAATGAAATAAATGACAAATTTCTTAAGATAGAATTAAGTATAATTTATAAAATACCGAAGGAGAAAAGTCGGTCATTTTCATTCACAAAGGAATAAACAGCACGTGAAACAAATATCACTAGTAGTGAGAGAGCACAAACAATTGAAGTTTCAATTGTTACACAGTACGTTTACCAAAATATTTCCGATTTACCATATACGAATATACGAAGAGACACGAAGAGAATGGATTTTAAAAATGCGAATTTTTTAAACAGTCAAGTGAACGTGCTCTCGGGGAATCTGTTACCAATAACCGACAATTCGCGGTTTTCAGTAATTAATCGTGTTTACAGCATCACCACATGGTTAATAGAATTGACCTACACGATCGCATTGATCTTTGGAATTATCCTGTCACCGTTGGAGAAGGGTCTGAAGGACGGCCTTGTCAGCGTCGTGGTGATCGTGGAGATGTTTTTTATGCTTATGCGTCTTTATTCGCGCAAAATGCTGATGGTGGAGATGATTCAAAAGATGAACGTTATCTTGCGAAGCGCGGATGAGATTATGAAGGATATCGTAAAATCGGCAATAAAGCCTATAATATTGCCGTTCGTAATATACGGAATAACCAACGTGATATCTGTCGCGATATGGCACATGCAACCGATTATGCTGGTCTTTGAGAGGTCCACTTTCTTCTATGTAGATTATAATATGCCAGCCGCTTTCAGCACCGAGCCGTTCTCCAGCCGCGTTTTGATTCCCTCGACCATTATTATGTCGATCGGCGGCGTTTATCTGTTTATTAAGAAATTCGGCGTGGATGTGTACATGATGCATTTGGTATTGATGTTAACGGCGCAATACAGATACACGGCGGCAAAGCTTACGATGTTATTTCGGAATCTACAGAATAGCCACGACGAATCTCAAAAAAGGCATCGGTCTATGATAAATCGATGGACGGAAAAAGAACTAAGAAAATTGTGTCACCATCAGAATACTGTTTTAATGTAAGTTATTATAATGTGAATATTGCAATGGATATTGAATAATAGGGAGACATGCGTTTGAATTATCGAGGGGTAATGGATTTTTTCTTTGGCTTTTAATTACGTGACTACACTTTTAAGTCACTGATAACATCAAAAAAAAAATTTTTTTCAAATTTTCTTATCTCTTAACTTCAAATATTCTTAACTTTAACGTTTAATAGAGTATTAAAAGTTTTTATTACTCTATGTGGCTACATTTTATAATATTTTATACACGTTATGCTTTCTTTCAGAATGTCATGTATATTAAAGAAACTTCTATCTGTCAACTTCAGCGTTCTCTATGTCAATAACGTGTTACGCTTCTGTTTTTTAGGTATCTTTCTGACCACAGTAAGTAATAATAACTAACGCTTTTACAACTATTATTAATTATTCTTAAAGATAAATTTATTGTAGTAATAAGTCTATATATTAATACACATTAATTTAATATTTATCGCACAGTTTATCAACTATTTAACTTACTTTAAAACGTTGATGGATATTTAATGAGTGTAAAAATAAAAAAATTTTATTTTTATTTTCACATGTGTTATATAAATTATATTGTTATTTAATTTGAAATTTAAATTAAATGATTTTTTTAATTAGAAAAATTGAAATGTGACCTTTGTTTCTAAACATTTTCTTTATTTGAAATTTTATTGTAAGTGTACTTTTAGGTACCATCAATGTCTTTTGCAGAAGGAATTTCAGTCATCTTATTTGCTGTTGGTTCACTTACACAGTTCTTTTTGTTGTGTTCTTCTGTTCAAACATTATTAGATGCAGTAAGATTTATTTTATTACATAAGTGACTTTTATTTTATAACCAATATTATGGATATTGAAGAAGACATTGTTAATTTCTTAAATTTAATATGTACCATTTCAATCACAGAGATCTTACGGCCATATTTAATTATGAAATATATAAAAATATGATCCACCCGTAAAACAAAAAGTCGAATTGTACAAATTCATTTAGAACTATAATTATATAAATAATAAAAAGAATTATTAATAATAATTATTATTATTAATTACGTCTATGCGACAGGTGTAAATAAGAAATATGTAATTTAAAACTGCGATCTATTATATTCTATTTTTGTGCTAATTATAGAGTACCGAAATAACGGATAAAGCATTTGATGAGGGTTGGTATCAGTTAGAACCGTCAATGAAACGTATATTTATATTATTAATAATGGCTAACAACCTGGAATGCAGAATTGCAGCAATTGGAAAATTCAATTTATCTTTGCCTTCATTTATGACGGTAATATTTATCGTATCTTTCTATTTCTCATATGTGTCTTGAAATAGTTAGTATTATAAGCCTCTTATATCGTATTTTTTAATGGTGTTTTAGATCATAAACCAATCGTATTCAATCGCCCTCCTGTTCTTAAGAGCGACATAAAAAAAATTGTTTTTTTCACACATGTTTAAATTTGGTATAAGATATAAGATAAAGAATGGTTACTTGAGACAAAATAAATTAAGATACATTTTTTTAAAAACATGTAGATAAATTTTTGTTTTGCATAATAATTTGAAGATTATAGTTATAATAATATAATGAGTTACAATGTAGAGAAAGCGTTAAATATTGCTAAAAAATTTAATCCTTGTCTATCAGTCTCTTATTTCTTATTATTTCCCGAATCAAAAATAAAGGAATAACCAAATTTAATGATTTAATTTGTTATATTTATAATATCTCTACTCATTGTCTGTTCAATAGTAGCACTACTCATTGTCTGTGAAGATAATGTCAGCACATATAACGCAAGTTTGTGATTCTACAGAAAAAAATATATGTCCTTATACACCAATGTACCTACGTGTAATTTTTCCGGAAAATCGGTCAACGACGAAAGAAACTTACTTGTCACTGTAATTTTGTTAACATTATATTTATCTTCGTCTTCTATTAATCTATTTTTTTATTTATTAATCATTATTTTCTTAAATTCTTGTCAACGATTTACTTTACTTGTTGGTTCTTAAACGAGCTTAAATTTAGTACATTCGATGTCATTTAGTCATTAGATTAGTCGTTGAAATATCCTCTTCAACAACACGTATATTTGGAATAATCCTGTAAAACCTTCCGTATTTCTGGAACGAACAAGGAGAAAGGTGCTATAAGATAACTGCTATTTTATACCGTGAGTGGAATTACATGGGGCTATGTATATATAGTCGTATTTTCATGGCATGGTAAATTAAGATCTCTTACTCGTATATTATTACGATATTTAGTTAAATTTATCTATTTTTCTGAAAAACATGTAAAATATTTTTTTAATCATATACTTTTATATTCCATACTTTAAGTATAATCTTACGATAATCATGCAGTTGATTTGTACAACGCTATATGTATATACCAACACTTTTTATACTTATTTTGCTCACCACAAACAAAGCCATAGTTTACTGTCGACTGAGATGCTCGTCGATAGCACTATGATTCCCTTGCGGTCTACGACAGACATCGTTCCATAAGATAATTATCACTTTATACCACAGTGCACATGGGCAATTTAGCGATTATATTTGCTTTGCGACAAACGTACCAAAAAAGTTCTTTATTGAATTTATCGTCGTTTAGTACGACATTCAATTATACGATACACTTGTACAATGATCACAGGATAAAAATAATTACAAAGAAATGAATGTATACTGTCACTGTTTGCCGTATGACTGTATACAATAATGTATTAATAAAAACTGGAGAAATAAAGCATCAAAGGGAATAGCGAATTATTGAAAATAGCCGCGCGCTGATCAACAATTTTTGAAATACGAATAGGATAGATATCGTATACCTCTGTAAAGAAAGAAACATTTTCACAGTGACAGAACATAAAACAAGAGTTAATGTAATCTCGAGCAATCGAACATTATAATTTTGAGGCTAAATTTGTCAAAATAAGTTTTATTTATTGCTGAGCGAATGACATGAAGAAAATGGACTTCCAAAACGTAAACCCTCTAAATGTTCGATTAAATATAATCTCAGGCAATTTGTTACCGATGACTAGCGACGATTCGCCGTTTCCTGTAGTGTGGAGAATATACAACATTGTTATATGGCTAATTCAACTGATTCAAACCAGCGCGACGATCTGCGGATTTGTGTCAGTGGCAAATCGTGAGACTCTGCAGGATGGTGGAACGATCAGCATCGTGGTGAGCGTTGAAGTATTCATTTTGCTCACGCGTATGTACGTCCACAGAAATCTAGCGAGTCAATTAATCCAAAAGCTGAATAGCATTCTGGACTCTGAGGACGAGAATATGAAGAATATTGTGCGTTCAACCCTGAAACCATTAGAGATTCCGCTCGAATTTTACTGCATAGCTGGGACTGGATCTGTAATACTATGGTGCTGTACACCACTCGCGCTGATCTTTAAGAAGAAATATTTCCTCTACGAAGATTTTGGACTGATGGCAGCCTTCTCGAAGCAGCCGTTCTCAACAAGAGTTTTTGTGCTGGGCAACCTTATTGAAACCGTTGCTAGCGCTTACATGTTTCTAAAGAAAGTTTCCATGGATGTCTATATCATAAATCTCGTATTACTGTTGACAGCGCAGTATCGCTACGTCGCGGTGGAGCTCGCAAAAATACTTCGCAATGATGCTTCAAAAAATGAGAACTATGAATCCCAAAAAGAATATTATTCTGTAAATTTATTGGCGGAGAAAAAGATGAAGGTGTTATGTCGACATCATAATACTATAATTCTGTAAGTAATTGAGCGTTTGCTAACTTATAATTAATGTTATTTATTTGCTAACTGATTTATTTGCTAAATATTCTGAATTATTACGTACTTCTAAATTTATTAGGTAATACGAAATTAATCCTTTTTTTAGTTTTAAATCAATTACTCAATATCTAACAGATAAATATTGTTTTTTTTTTAGCATGACGTTGATGTTAAAGAAATTTTTATCCTGGAATATGAGTTTGATATACTTAAATAATATTTTCCTTTTCTGTTTTGTCGATTTCCTCTTTATAAATGCAGTAAGTAAAAACTGGCACATAACATCTAATTATCCTAAAAATACTTTCTAGACAACCGAAAACAAGGAATTAATTTAATTGAATTATCATGTATTTCTCTTAATTATGATATGTTATAAGTATGGGTCGCATTTAGGTGGTATCGGGGGCTTTCCTCAAAGGATCTATACTCATTGTATATATGTGTGGTCAATTAATACAGCTTTATATTCTGTGCTTCTGCGTTCATCAATTATTAGACGCGGTAAATTTTATTGCAATATAATTTTATCCTTTCTCCCTTCCAGTTAATCAAACAATTAAAACAATTTTTAATTGGTGTGTAAAGAAAATTTGTATCTTTAAAATTAAATAACTATACAAAAAATAATCGATTTTTAATTCTAAGAGAAACTGAACACAAAATACTATCGGCAATAAATATTACGTGTAAGCATATAATATGCGTGTTGTTAGTAATTATTTTTAATTTTTTTTTAAATATTATCATTTTCTGTAAAATTTAGAGTAAAGAAATGACAGATGGAGCATTCCATGAGAAATGGTATCAATTTGGACCATCGCTAAAACATATATTCAGGATGATTATAATAGCCAATAATTTAAACAGTAAACTTTCGATTTCTGAAAAGTTTAGTCTGTCTCTCCCTTCATTTTTATCGGTAAGATTACTAATATCACTATTTAATATTATTATCTGTATTAAATGTATGTCATAATATTGATATTACAAATTTTTTTTTACAAATTTTGAGCAATTATTCAGATACTCTGAGCTTTAGATACCAATTTAAGCATACATTTAAATAAATTTTTTTAATTCCCAAATGTTGTTTTAGATTTTAAATCAATCATATTCGATTGCTCTTTTACTTTTCAAAGTGAAATAAAAAATGACGAGAATATTTATTCTGTCTTGAACGTTGCATCTGTCTTTTATGCATTTTTATTTGATAATAAAATTTAATTATACGAGCAATCAGTATTGTAAAAATTGGTGCTGCTTGTTTCAAGACAGGCCTTACGAATTAAGAATTAAAAATGAATATTATTAATAAATAAAATAAGTGTTTATATTATCTAAATGGCACTAACAAAAAATATAAAATTTCCATTGTTAGCGTGTAATATGCATGTTGAAAGTTTATATAATTTTTTTTCGGCTTTTCAATAGAACTGAACTATATTATATTTTATTTATTTGTACCTTTATTTTACTTATTGTAGTATTATTAATAAAGTGCAATAGAATTTTCTATTAATGACAGAAAAACTCGAATCACTTTAAGCACAATATATAAAAATGTAGCTGTTGGTTTCATAGAATACTATTAGCACATCCTAATTAGCTTGCTGTAAACCAAACTACAGTTTTTTATCTATTTTTAAAAATGCGTTAAATATAGCATTAGCACTGCAACCGCTTCGGTATTCGCAACTCTGCGACATACGTTGCACGCAAGTAATACATAGTACCATAAGGTAATCATTACTTTTCAAAGTGCATGTGTAGCTGCCGGAAAACGGTGATCCTACCTAATTCTGTAATAAATGAAATAAGAAATAGTCCGACATTTTTAACATCTTTCTTAGTAGCACAACTTATCAAAACTCTAATATTTCTTTTCCATAAGACATAGAATTGCTCTGAACAGTTATCCAGAGATACACATTGTTGACAATATCCAAGTTTTAATATGCCTACACAATGATCACAAAAGAAAGATTAATAATTACATACTGAAGGGACAGTATATCACCACTTCATGGCATATACAACATATATTAATAAAACTGGATAATAGAACGGTTTTATGGAAATAGTAAAGTTCTGAAATGCTATGCTAGTAAAAAACTCATTTCTATCCGTAGAGGAAAGATACCGAAAGGTAAGACAAGAATTAGAGATTCAAGCAATCGATTTTTGCAGATGATCTTTTTGTTACACCCTGTATATATAACGTACTGTACTTAATATTAATTGCATTAATTTTTATTATCAATATAATTTAATAATAAAATCTAGAATTTAATAATTTAATATTGACTGTAACAATAAGACCACGTTGTGCACACACCGCAAACTTTCCACCATAACGTTTGATAACTGGCGATAAGCGCGAAGACGCGCGAGAACACTCCGCGACTCGCGACCGCAAACGTTGCCGCGACAAGGCTACCACGCGCCAGTACTTTCTCGTAATCAGGTAAAAATTGTCACGCGTTAGTATATAAGGTGCGTATTATATTTACATTAAACTCTCTAACACATGAGTATTAACTTGACATTTAATGAACAATGCCCCAGAATCCTTAATCCTTATATATTATATTAATTGGAATATTGTAAGGATCCCGAGGCATTATTTATCAGATGTCAAGCTAATACTCACGTATTAAAGCTAAGATAAATATAATACGCATTTTATAGTAGTCCGCCTCTTATCATCGCCTCAGATCATACATCGATTATATTCGATTCTGTTCTTAAAAGTGAAATAACCAATAATCACATTGCTTACGTTTCAAATTTGACAATTACAAGAACAAATGATGATAAAAGACAAAGAAAATTACGATTATTAAAAAACAAAGCATGAACAAATCTACTCTGGATAATATTTCAAAATATGGTCACGAAATATATTTAGACGCATTTTGAAATTGATAACGTTACTAACAATAAGTTTTGCCTGTTTTTTTTTAATTGCCTTTCTCTTTCTTTCACTTTTAAAATTAAAAAAAAATTAAATTAATTACAGGTAAATTGTATAAATTTATAAATAGGTTTATAAAATTATAATTAGTAATAAAGTATAGATAGTAATAAAATTTAATGCTTGTAATATTTATACATTAAATTCATGAAAAAAAATTAGTATTTACATATTTATAATTAGGATCGACAATTAAAATAAAATGTGTATATTAAAGCCCGTTACTAAGAGAACAATTAATATCTAAATATTGGTAATAATGTATAATATCTACGTCTGAGATTACAGTTTACATCTTTTCACCAAATATGTTACAAAAATATATTAAAAGTGCAATAATTTGAATTTTATTTTAAACTCTTCTTGAATAGTTTAAAATCTAAATTTATTGAATAATTTATTTAAAATATAAAAATTTCTTGTGTAGTAACACACATTAAACAACGCAAAGAATTAAAAGTAATCAATTTAAAACAAATCATTGGGTAAAGCTTTCTACATAGCTAATTTGTCTAAAATATCTGTTCTAAAAAACTCACTTTAATTGTTGTTTCATTCGTAAACGAGCATATGTTTCACTTTATAAAATAGATATTGGCACGTTCAATGTCTATGTAACTTATCGCAGATCAATCCTCAGCTGTTGTCCGAAGAAGCTCGCACTAAACAACATCAGATATTTAGTTTCTTCTGCTTCTTCCTTTGCGATGGAGTATCTCCACAATGAAGTGCCTCCTAGAGTATCATAAGATAATCGCTGCTTTACAGTCCCAGGATAATTACAAAGTATAGCTTGGAGTCACGTCCATCCCCTGCATAAATAAAACGAAGAGATCGTGACATATCTCAAATTTGTCGAGATGATTATAAACTTCTCTATTTCTTTACAATAAACTATGAAAGCTTCCTGGTGATGATAGTTAATTTGCCATATTTCCATATTGTCATCATAGAATAAACGCTTATAACTGCAGCGAAAGAGAAATGATGTTCCCCTCAATGACAATGCATATTATAATATAAACTACAAAGAAATAGAAATTCAATAAAATATCCAAAGATGACGATCGGTTGCGACCAACTTTCAAATAGCGATAGAAAGTCCCGTACATGCTTCTGAAGGAAAGAATAGAGTGTGCGCGATAATGAAAATGTCAAACGGAGGTAAATACAAATATATGTATATCTGGATACATCTAGCACATATGTTTAAAAATAGCTACTTATATTATAAGGATTAAAAGGATCAGCGCTAATTGCAGCTGCAATTAATTAAATTATCTTTTAACTTAGGAAAGAAATCAACTTAAAAGAGGACATTATATATTTTTTTAATAGAGAGAACAAAGAAATATCAAAAACAACCTTTGCAAGCTATACTTTGTACAGTATTTTCCATTTATCACGAAAGAGCATTTCCACCAGAACATGGACTTTCAAAACGTAAATCCCCTAAACGTTCGATTAAACAGGTTCTCAGGCAACTTGTTACCGATGACCAGCGACGATTCTTTATTCCCTGTAGCGTGGAGAATATATAGCGCCGTCATATGGCTGATCGAAGCGATTCAAACTAGCGCGGTGATTCCCGGAATCTTGTTCGTGCCGAAGGACAAGGCTTTGCAGGATGCGACGGTTGGCATAGTGGTCACCATAGAAGTGTTTTTCTTGTTATGGCAAATGCATGTGCACAGAGATCTCGTGATTCAACTGATTCAAAAGCTAAATGAAATTCTGCGCGTTGAGAACAAGACAATGGAGATAATTGTCAGATCGACCTTAAAACCGGTGGAGATTCCGCTGAAATTTTATTGCATAGCTGGGACGGGATCCATAATAGTGTGGTGCTGCATATCTTTCGCGGTGATCTTCAAGAAGAAATATTTTCTCTATGAGGATTATAGGCTACCGATAGTTCTTTCGAAGCAACCATTCCCGTTGGAAATTTTTCTACTGGGAAACTGTATCGCGTCTATTGCCAGCGTGTATATGTTTATAAAGAAAGTTGCCTTGGATGTCTACATGATAAATCTCGTGTTACTGGTAACAGCGCAATACCGCTACATCGCGGTGGAGCTCGCAACAATATTTCGGGAAAATATTCCACAGAATCAGCGTAATGAATCCAAAGAGGAATATCCCACGATAGATTCATTGACGATCCTGAAGATGAAAGCGTTATGTCGACATCACACCGTTGTGGTCCAGTAAGTAATTGGTGAGCGTTAGGCAATTTTGCGATGAAGTATTTTACCTATTTGCTATTTTTTTCCATTGTTACTCGTCTCTCTCTTTTTCTTTCTTAAGATTATATTCTTCCTCAATTTATACCATTCCCGATGCTTGTCTCTTACAGAAATTTAATATTGTAAGTGATTATTTGGCTAGTGATTAATTACAATATTTACTTATTTTGAGTATTAAAAAGCATTAAAAACTGCTTTTAATACTCAAAATAAGTAATTAATCACTAGCCAAATAATCACTTAACAGTATTAAATTTCTGTAAGTCGTTTATTTAATGTCGCATTACGATGCGGTTTTTTTTTCAGGACGACGTTAATGTTAAAGAAACTACTGTCTTTGAATATGAGTCTAATGTATTTGACAAATGTTTTTATTTTTTGCTTTCTCGACATTATGCTGATAAGCACGGTGAGTGATATTTGATGACAATAATAATACTAAAAATACTTTCCAGACGATTGAAGATAGATGATTATGATAATATAACAATGTATGTCAAACCTATATAGATATTATCGATGGCTCCCGTAGAAGGAATTATGATCGCCATGTATATATGCGGCGGCCTAGTACAGCTTTATATTTTATGCTTGTGCGTTAATCAATTACTAGATGCGGTAAGCTTTGTTAAAATGTATCGTCACCATCCTTCTTCCAGTATGTCTTCATTATTCTGTAACAAGTTCGAAAAAGTCTTAAATTACCGTACGTTTGATTTCCTATAAAATCAAAGCTTAATGTCTAGTATTGAAATAATTATTATATGAAAAAAAGTAGCTATTTTTCAAATTTTTAATTCTCTCTTTCGTATTGAGAAGGATTCTGAAAACAGAATAATCAATAATCTATAATATATAAAATAGAATAAAATTGCAAGTTGCCTGTTTGCAATTAATTACGGTCTCTTAAAGCTTAAAACTTTTGACAATACATAATCCACATCGGAATCTAAAGATGATATTTATAATATTATACATAATATAAAAAAATATTTGAAGATTTAGAATACGTATCCATAAATATCTACATACAGATATCCACAAAAATTCACTGCATATATATAATAAACAAAATTATATTTTTAAATCTGACGCAAATTATAAATCATATAAAGTCGGCTATATGTTTTATGATTTTATATAACATTTAGAGTGTAGAGATAACAGACAAAGCATTCCATGAGAAGTGGTATCAGTTTGGACCATCATTAAAACATATGTTTAGGATGATGATAATAACTAACAATTTAGGGTGTAAACTTTCAATTTCTGAAAGGTTTAATCTGTCTCTGCCTTCATTCATGACGGTAAGACTTAATGTAGTCCTTATATTGAGCACATATAATAATATCTATACCTATCTTGTAAATTATTTTCGCAATCTTTTAAAATTTATACACACATTACAATTCCAATACTAATATTATTGTGGCGCTTACCTATTTCCAAATTGTCTATTCTCTCTTATAGATTTTGAATCAATCGTACTCGTTCGCTCTTTTATTTTTAAGAATGAAATAAAATGTACGAGGTACGTTTCTTGTATGTCTTAAATAATTTAACTACATTTTCTCAATTTTTAATAAAATTTTATAAACGTTTATTTATATTTTGTAAACTATTTATTTGCGTTGCTAAAATACGACCACGATTTGATTCGATTATCGTCATGTAATCTTTGATATACTTATATAAGCATCTTATTTAAGTCTGACGATTTGTCGGCGCGCAGTTACTATTATTGGAATAATATTGTTTAGTTTATATATAATACAGGTTAAATATTACCACATGCCTCAGTCGTCGAATTGGTACGACATCCATCACGGAATGAGGGAGGTTCCAGGTTCGTACCCTAGCTGAGGTAATATTTTTCGCAATAAATTGAATTATTTAAATGAAAAGCTTATAATCGAACCAAATCGTGGTCGTATTGTTTCGGCGATTATAATGGCCAGTAAAGTCGATTCCCAGCGAGAAATGACCCATCAAATCGACGTCTATCTAATCAGACGTTTATAGATTCAATGGGTTATTTTTCGCTGGATTAATATTTCCATTGTTATTTCTTGTTTCAGTTCCAAAGAACAGCAGAATTTAATTAAGATTAACAATTAAGTAAAAATTCAAATATTATTTATATAATATATATATTATTATATTAATATATAAACTTATATTATATATATATAATACTTAAGTATAGAGTATTGAGAAAAAAATAAAAATTTAAATTAGCAACAAATCACTTTATTACATATTTATTACTATTTATATTCGAATAAATTACATTATCCGTTTTATAAATTTGATCACTTATTATCAATTTGTAATCTATCATTAACAGGCGACAGATATTATAACACTATCGCAAGAGAAAAAATTATTTTTATAATAATATTGTGATACATAAACATGCTGCAGTTAATAGTGTAGAACATTATTAACATATTCGATACCAATTTAACTCAGAAAATTATTTCGTCGTTTCCCGATGAAGTACGCGTTAAACAGCATTAGGTACTGCGATCTCTTCGCAACTTGCAATCCTGCAGTACAGTCGTACGCGCAATAAAGAGAGTACTATAAGATAATCATCGCTGTATAAAACACAGACAAAAAGCTATTAGTTACCACTTATACAAGAAAGCCATATACATATATCCCTATGATAAAGATTGTAATAAAAATTCTAGTCCTGTATGTACATTGAGGGTCTTTATTTCTTGAGAGACATCACGACATTTATTTATAAACGTCATTTCTTCATAGCAGAAGCTGAAAGTTGACTTAGCCAAATCGTTATTTATTCAGAAACTGCTCCATTATCGACAACATTGAAGTACCGATATACACTAATCATAGAACGAAAAGGACAGAGTTCCATTGCTTGTCATATGACGACGTCTATTATTTTAATACAAACTCAGGTATCGAACAGAAATTCAAAAGGAATAATGAAACGACGAAAATCGACGATAATTTCGCGAGTTATTTCTGAATTCCGATAGAAATGTCGTGCGCATAATTTTCATGAAAGGAAGGAGACATGCGCGCGACATAGAGAGACACACGTGAAACGTGAAAGTGAATATTAAGACACGGAGGGTATCACACAATTCCAACTGACGACGTTGCGAGCATGGATTTCCAAAACGTGAATCCCCTAAATGTTCGGCTGAACGTGATCTCGGGCAACCTGCTACCGATGATCAACCGCGAGACGTCCTTTTCATTCTTCTGGAAGATATACAGCGTCTTCGTGTGGCTGTTCCAATTCGTTATAGCGATCGTGATGGTGCCCGGGTGCATGTACGTGCCGATAGAGAAGGCTCTGAAAGACGGCATGATCTGCTTCGTAGTCTTTATAGAAATGTTCTTCATGATCGTGCGAATTCACGCCCGTAAGGACCTGGTGTACCAATTAATTCAGAAGCTGAACGAGATTCTGCGCACCGCCGACGAAACTATGAAGAACGTCGTGACGGCGACTTTGGAGCCGGTGAGGACCCCGCTCAACTTCTACTGGTCCGCCGGCGTGGCGTCGATAGTAGCCTGGAGCTCGATACCGTTCGTATTGGTATTCGAGAAAAATCTGTTTCGTTACGAGGATTACAGAATACCCGCTGCTTTCTCCAAACAGCCATTCTCGCTCAGAATCTTCATCCTAGGAAACCTGTTTCTGCTGATCAGCGCGATATATATGTTTTTAAAGAAAGTCGGCGTGGATGTGTACATGGTGCATTTGGTTCTGATGATAACCGCGCAGTATAGATACATCGCGCTGAAAATTGCGGTGATATTTCAAGAAGAAGATGAAGGTGATGAATCTCCAAAGAAACATTCTCCTGGAATAAATCGAAGAAAAGAAAAGGAAATAAGAGCACTGTGTCGACATCACAATGATGTGGTACAGTAAGTATTTCAGAATTTAATTAGTACCATAACTGACGTCTAGCAATTTGTGTACTTAGAATATAAATAACATGATTAATTAACATACGGCAAATTAGTACCTATTAAGTTATTTGCTTGATTGCTTGAATAATATTTCCCTTTGTATGAAACTTATATTTAAAAACTTATATTTAAATCTACGTGATTTTGTCTTACAAATACGAGTATATTATGCTTTTTTCCAGCATAACTTCATTGCTAAAAGAACTGCTGTCTTTAAACTTTAGTTTAATATATGTAAACAGCGTCTTTAGATTTTGCTTTATTGGTATCATGCTAAGCAGCGTGAGTAATAAGAATTCCTTATTATTAATTGCTCTTCCTTCCCCTCTCTCTCTCTTCTTATAGAAATATTGGATAAAAAGATATGTAAATAACTATTGAATTATAGCAGAGATTATTATTAATTGTGATATATTAACTAATATATTTTTTTAAAATTTAAGATAACATCAGCAACATTTTGGGAAGCGATCTCGATTGTCATGTACGCGTCAGGTGCAGTAGTGCAACTTTATATTTTGTGCTCCTGTGTGCAGCAATTATTAGACGCGGTATGTTTTTCGTAATTTATTGTTTATATTATTTTGTTTTTAACTCATAACTGTTATAAAATCGATTGATTTGATACGAAAAATTTACTTTTTATAATAATATATAAACATAAACTGCTCTTTTCTTTCACTTTAGTGATGCATAACAATAATATAAAGTATTGATTTAAAAAAACTAGATACACATTATAGTTTTGTGAATTACGAACTGTGTCTGATACGTAATAATAATAATATAATCATATTATTTTTTGTTGTATATTGCTTTATTATGAGAATGTAGAGTACGGAAATGACGGATAAGGCGTTTCACGAAAACTGGAATCAGCTTCACCCATCGATAAAACGTACATTTATCTTGATAATCATGGCTAACAATTTAGAATGCAGAATTGCGACATTTGAAAAGTTTAATCTCTCCTTACCTTCATTTATGATGGTAAGATTTTGTACATTTCTTATTTTCTTATGCACAGCAATACTGTCATATTTTTAAAAAATCTAACATTCTCCAAATTTTTTTTCAGATTTTAAATCAATCGTATTCAATTGCCCTTCTGTTTTTAAAAATGAAGTAAAAAAATGACGAAGAAGACGTTTTGCCTATAGTAGTTATAATTGTTACTTCCAATCTAATAACGAAAATAAATCATTTTATGAGAGCAACTTATTTACGTTTGGTAAAGTTAACGTGTTTTAGTGAAAAAAGTACCTAAAATGATGAAACAAAAATGCCAGTAATTGTATTACAATTTGTAATTGATTCCTATACAATATACAACGATAATAGCACTTAAAATAATAAAGTAGCGACAATTCATGACAAAATATCTGAAATTAATTACAGCTTAAATGTACCTCTACGTAATCAATGTTATTGATGCTACATGTTGAGAGAAATAAATCAATAACTAATACAGACAGAATGTTAATATCAATACTATACCTACTAGATATTACAAATTTTACTAAAATTATTTGTTTTGTTGTTAAAAATCGGCACTGAAAAAATAATGACGACTTCGCCCCGCCGGTCTTCCCTATGTTTAATTTAATTTGTAATTTTTACTAATAATTTTTTTTATTTGTAGTAATATCAATTTTTAATTGAAAAACAAATAAGAGACACAATAGTGACTCGCGCCTAGGGATACACGCTGGAAGGGACGTGCGACATGTAATAGAGGAGCCAAAGTGCTAATGTATGCGATTCTCGAGGCATTAGCTATAGCTAAAGCTCGGAAGAGAAAGAGGCAGCCGATTGTATGTTGCGCACTTCTACTGCTCCAACGCCGAGCGTACATGTATGTACATGGCTCTTTTCTTGTATGCTCTACACCCACACTGTAGCAGCCTCGATCATATCAGCCAATATCAGCTGTCAATCAGAGCGAGAAGGAGGAAACAATATATTTTCTTTCGCTCACTCGGCGCGCCACGTGCCGCAGTCGCAGTGTTGCCGGACACATCAATAGCATGCGATAGCATGTGGATCGTCGAGAGATTACGAGTGTTATGACTTATGACAGTTATGACTGAATGTCTCTTGTACTTCATTGTGCGTCACTGACGCACGTAAAAAGTGTTAAGCAAAGACTCCATAGACGCGTTGAGCTGCGGCAACGTTGTGCGGCATCAGAGTACATAGATCAGTCAGAAGGCTACCGCAAGTCGCCTGCGTCAATCTGCGGCAAAATCAAAATTTGTTGATTTTGCCGCAGCGGCAAGATGTATAATAGTTGATAAACTTTTCATGACATTTGGCACGGATATTGTCGAATATTGTCGAACGCGTTTTGACTATCCATTTTCTTCGATTGATTTCTAATCTTGTGAGTTTTTATTATTATATTTATACGCGGGCTTAAACATGCATTTCTTCAAATTTGTTATTATTAACCGGTTATTGCGATAAATATTACCACATGCCTCGGTAGTCGAATTGGTACGACGCACTTCACGGAATGAGGAAGGTTCCATGAGGTAATATTTTTCGCAATAAATTCTTTACAGTTTTTTAAATAATTAAATCGCGTCGATTTAATTCCGGGGAGGGAAGGGTATTTATTAATGTTTCAAAGATAGCTGTTGTTTCAAGTCCGACAAATAATCGGCGCGCAGTCTATTAAGTTGGAATATATGTATATGTAAATTATTGTACATTGTTTTACGTTACTTCTTTACGTAAAAATAGAATATATGAACACCAACATCTTATTACGGCTCAACGCTCCATTTTCTTCAATTGGTTTCTAATCTTGTGAGCCTTTATAACTATTTAGTTTTTAGTTCCGTTTAGATTCTCAAATGATGGCGCTATCCCGTCGAAGTTCGGCCGTCACTTCAGCATCCCCTTGTGTAGAACATTATTAACATATTCGATACCAATTTAACTCAGAAAATTATTTCGTCGTTTCACGATGAAGTACGCGTCAAACAACATTAGGTACTGCGATCTCTTCGCAACTTGCAATCCTGCGGTAGAGTCGTACGCGCAATTAAGAAAGTACTATAAGATAATTATTGCTGTGTAGAAAACGGACAAAAGGCTACTAATTATCACTTACAAGAAAGCCATATATACAGATGTCCCTGTGATAGATGTAATAAAGATTGTAGTCCTGTACATTGAGTGTCTTTATTTCTTGAGAGACATCGCAGCATTTATTTATAAACTTCATTTCTTCACATATAGCAGAGGCTGAAAGATAACTTCGCCAAATCGTTATTTATTCAGAAACTGCTCCCTTATCGAGACAACATTGAACTACCGACATATACTAACCATAGAACGAAAAGGACAGAGTACCATTGCTTGTCATATGACAACGTCTATTATTTTAATTAATACAAACCCAGGTATCGAATAGAAATTCAAAAGGAATAATAAAACGAAAATCGACGATGTTCCGCGAGTTATTTCTGAATTCCGATAGAAAAGCCTCGCGCATAATTTTCATGAAAGGAAAGGAGACATGCGCGCGACATAGAATGCGGTTCACTTAACGCTACAAATGCTTTGGAGCGTTCTTCTTCTCCTTCCTTCCTCATTGAAAGAAAAGAGAAGAAGAATGCTTCGAAGCATTTGTAGCGTCAAGTGGATCGCAGCCATAGAGAGACACACGTGAAACAAAGTGAATATAAAGCCCCTTGCACAATGTCAGGCAACAGGCAATAGGAACAGGAAATAACCAAAAAATCGTTAATTACAACCTAAAAAATTTGAATGCTATGATTGGTTGGCAACAGGCAATAGACACAGAATTTTTAACGTGACGGAAACTCTGTGTCTATTGTCTGTGTCATTCTTTATTCTGCATTTATACATGATTTCTGATTTCTCTTCCCTGTTCCTATTGCCTGGCATTGTGCAAAGGGGTTAAGACACGGAGGATATCACACAATTCCAATTGACAACGTTGCAAGCATGGATTTCCAAAACGTGAATCCCCTAAATGTTCGGCTGAACATGGTCTCGGGCAACCTGCTACCGATGATCAACCGCGAGACGTCCTTTTCATTCTTCTGGAAGATATACAGCGTTTTTGTGTGGCTGAGCCAGATCTTTATACCGATCGTGATGGTGCCCGGGTGCATCTACGTGCCGATAGAGAAGGTTTTGACAGACGGCATGATCTGCTTCGTAGTCTTTACAGAAATGTCCTTCATGATCGTGCGAATTCACGCCCGTAAGGACCTGGTGTGCCCATTAATTCAAAAGCTGAACGAGATTCTGCGCACCGCCGACGAAACTATGAAGAACGTCGTGACGACGACTTTGAAGCCAGTGAGGACCCCGCTCAACTTCTACTGGTCCGCTGGCGTGGCGTCGATAGTAGCGTGGAGCTCGCTACCGTTCGTATTGGTATTCGAGAAGAATCTGTTTCGTTACGAGGATTACAGAATACCCGCTGCTTTCTCCAAACAGCCATTCTCGCTCAAAATCTTTATCCTAGGAAACCTGTTCCTGCTAATCAGCGCGATATATACGTTTTTAAAGAAAGTCGGCGTGGATGTGTACATGGTGCATTTGGTTCTGATGATAACCGCGCAATATAGATATATCGCGCTGAAAATCGCGGTGATATTTCAAGAAGAAGATGAAGTTGATGAATCTCTAAAGAAACATTCTCCTGGAATAAATCGAAGAAAAGAAGAGGAAATAAGAGCACTGTGTCGACATCACAATGATGTGGTACAGTAAGTATTTCAGAATTTAGTCAGTACGATAACTGTCTAGCAATTTTTGTACTTAGAATATAAATAACATGATTAATTAACATACGGCAAATTAGTACCTATTAAGTTATTTGCTTGAATAATATTTCCCTCTGTATGAAACTTATATTTAAATCTATATGATTTTCAGTACGTGATTTTGTCTTACGAATACAAGTATATTATGCTTTTTTCAGCATTTCTTCATTGCTAAAAGAACTGCTGTCTTTAAACTTTAGTTTAATATACGTAAACAGCGTCTTTAGATTCTGCTTTATTGGTATCATGCTGAGCAGCGTGAGTAATAAGATGTTCTTATTATTAATTGCTCTTCCTTCCCCTCTTATAGAAATATCGGATAAAAAGATATGTAAATAACTATTGAATTATAGCAGAAATTATTATTAATTGTGATATAATAACTAATATATCTTTTTATAATTTAAGATAACATCAGCAACGTTTGGGGAAGCGATCTCGATTGTCATGTACGCGTCAGGTGCAGTAGTGCAACTTTATATTTTGTGCTCCTGTGTGCAGCAATTATTAGACGCGGTAATTTTTTTGTAATTTATTGTTTATATTATTTTGTTATTAATTTATAACTGTTATAAAATTAATTGATTTATTACGAAATTTACTTTTTATAATAGTATATAAACATAAATTGCTCCTTTCGCTTTAATGACGCATAACAATAATATCAAGTATTGATTTAATAAAACTAGACACACATTATAGTTTTGTGAATTACAAACTGTGTCTGATACGTAATAATAATATAATTATATTATTTTTTGTTGTATATTGCTTCATTATGAGAATGTAGAGTACGGAAATGACAGATAAGGCGTTTCACGAAAACTGGAATCAGCTTCACCCATCGATAAAACGTACATTTATCTTGATAATCATGGCTAACAATTTAGAATGCAGAATTGCGACATTTGAAAAGTTTAATCTCTCCTTACCTTCATTTATGATGGTAAGATTTTGTACATTTCCTATTTCCTTATGCGCAGTAATACTGTCATATTTTTAAAAAATTTAACATTCTCCAAATTTTCTTTCAGATTTTAAATCAATCTTACTCAATCGCCCTTCTGTTTTTAAAAATGAAATAAAAAAAATGACGAAGAAGACGTCTTGCCTATAGTAGTTATAATTGTTACTTCCAATCTAAAAACGAAAATAAATCATTTTATGATAGCAACTTATATACGTTTGGTAAAGTTAACGTGTTTTAGTGAAAAAAGTACCCAAAATGATTAAACAAAAATACCAGTAATTGTATTACAATTTGTAATTGATTCCTATACAATATACATAACGATAATAGCACCTAAAATAATAAAGTAGCGACAATTCATGACAAAATACCTGAAATTGATTACAGCTTAAATGTACCTTTACGTAATCAATGTTATTGATGCTACATGTTGAAAAAAATAAATCAATAACTAATACAGACAGAATGTTAATATCAATACTATACCTACTACATATTACACAATATTATATAATATATACCTACTATATATATACCTACTAGATTGTTTACATATATAAACACAAATTATATAACTGCTTTCTCCAATTTTTTAATTTATTGCCTAGGTATTGTAGCAATCATTAGATTTTTAAATATTTAACAATAAAGTAGAAAAAATAATAAAAAAGATATTTGACAAATAAGGTGATTATAATATGTAAAAATATAGTATAATAATATTCTCACTTTAAATCAACAAAAATTTACACATTACTAATTGCTGTTATAAGTTAATTACTGTTATAGTTCTTAAAATTTTTAAAGAAAAAATTAACAAATTGTAGGCAAACATTCATGGTAACGTGCAAATGCCTAAAATGTAATACAATTTATATTCTAATTTGATTACAAACAAACAAGTAATTTTAAATTTGTAACAATAAATTTTATTAAAAGTATTTTTTAATTAGAGAGAAGTGCCACGTTCGATCAGATTGGATCTTGGAAGCTTTAATAATATTTTTATGTAAATTTTGTATACTTTTTTCAAATAATTTTTTAATAATATGTATCTAAATTACTCAATATAATTTTTACATACCAAAACTGATTTGATGTGTAGTACAGCAAGACAATGCACTATAATAAAAAAATCAATTTACTGTTTAGACTGTGAACATCCATAAAAAATTGCAGGGCAAAATAACTTATAAAATAAAATTAATATTTCTACTTCAAATTATATAGTATATCAGATATATCACAATTTTTCATCGATGATATACGAGTAAAATACTGTCGAATACTGTGACTTTCCTGGACATTGCAGCGCAGCAATGATCAATAACGAGTAATAAGATAATGACTACCGCATGGCCTAGCGCTAATTACAAGGAATTTCACGGTTGCTTTCAGCTCTATATTGAAATGAAAGAAACTGCTTTCGGATATCGTATCAAACATTTGTAAACTATTTCATTATCTATGATAGTAGTACAAGAAGTCTCTTTCTGAATCGATATGTAGTAGTAGTAGTAGTAGTAGTAGTAGTAGCATCATCAAGTAATTAGCGAAATTATAGATAATAATTACTTTAGAATATTCTTGGAGACATTCTTGCAGTGAAAAATTGTATTTTACCATTGGATGACACCACGATATATTCATGAAAAACAAAGAGAAACAGAAATTCAAAAGGAATAATAAATTACTCAAATTATATGAGTGACTTATAATTATGGTAGAAATGCCACATGTGTCTTTCAGACACAAAATAGAGCGTATGTCAGCAAAGATAAATACAAGTCCAACGGCACATTCTCTTTTCATCCATTGATGATTTTATGAAATGTGAACATGCTTTTTCAATAATGTTTGCTGACAGACGATAGCTATAAAGAAACATTAAGCTTCGAGCAAAACATCATTAAGTTAAGTATATTGATATTATTACTACAATTTCTTAAATTACTGACTTATTTGCAGACAACTTGCTAAAACTTATAGTGCATTTAATATAAGTATGGCACTTTACAATTTTATAAGCTGTAATATTTAAAGCAATATATATAAATACGTAGTGGTATAAATTAAATGATAAATAAATAAAACTGCTCCATTAAACATTATCGACTCTCTCATTTTACACACGCTATATTCACTGTTCCAGAACAATTTGTTACGAAACAACGACATATCAAGAACATGGATTTCCGAAACGTGAATCCGCTAAATGTTCGGCTGAACTTGGTGTCAGGTAATTTATTACCAATGACCGCCGACGATTCGTCGTTTCCGATATTTTGGAAGATATACAGCGTTCTGGTATGGTTTCTCGAAATAGTGCAATTATGCGGGTTAGTCCCTGGGTTTATTTTTGTGCCAATAGAGAAGGTTCTAAAAGACGGTCTGGTAGCTCTTGTGATTACTATGGAAGTGATATCAGTAATCATAAGAATTCACACATGTAGAGGATTGGTGAAACAATTAATTCAAAAACTTAATGACATTATGCGCGTGGAGGACGAAATGATGAGGAGTATAGTGACAACGACCATAAAATCGATGGAGATTCCCCTTAAGTTTTACTGGTCGGCCGGCGTGCTGTCCATAGTACTGTGGAGTAGTTCACCGTTTGTAGTGGCCTTTCAAAAAAATTCCTTTTTCTATGTAGATTACAGGATGCCAGTTGTCTACTCGAAAGAGCCATTCACGACCGGTATCTTTGTGTTAGGAAGTGTCATCGTGCTCGTGAGCAGCGCGTATATTTTTACAAAGAAAGTCAGCGCGGATAGCTACATAATAAATGTGATGTTACTGATAACGGCACAATATAAATACACCGCGTTAAAACTATCAATGATATTTCAAAATAGATTTCTTCAAAGTGATGATCGTAGCGAATCTAATACAAAAGAATGTTATCCTAATGCAGATTATTACGCAGAAAAAGAAATGAAAGCCTTATGTCAGCATCATAATATGATCATTCAGTAAGTTTATTTTTTATTAATTCTCAAAAATGTTATAAGTATGAAAAACTTTTAATCTGAATTAAATCAGTTTTCAATATTTGTTTGATTTATTATATAATATCATTACATAATACTTTGATACTTTATTTAAAACATAGTTTTTACTAAATTATACAAGAAGTTACATTTCTTAAATATTTTATTGCAATATGTAATTTAAATTTGTTGTTATAATTATTCTTTAATATAATGATTATTATTATTATTTTATCCTTTACTGTAACATCATATTGTCATATGTGGTGTTTCTTGTTTCAGCATAATGATAATGCTAAGAAAACTATTGTCTTTAAATATCAGTTTAATATATGTAATAAGCGTTTTTCGATTCTGCGGGATTGCTATCATGCTGATTTCAGTGAGTAACAATCTCTAATACCAATTATTCTAAGAATATATTTGCTAAATCTATAAAAGACAGCATAATGTTATTGCATTTTATCAGTTAACATATATTATCGATGCGTTCTATATTTTAGTAAATTTTAGATACCATCCGTAACTTTGTGGGAAGTATTCTTGCATATTATGTACGCAATCGGTGGGGTCGTGCAGCTCTACATCCTTTGTTATTGTGTGCAACGGTTATTAGATGCGGTAGGCTTTGTTGCAATTAATACTTCTAAATAGTATACACGTTACATGTAAAAAAGGATTAAACCGAGAAACGTTTGTAATTAATAAAAATGTTCTATGATATATATCATTTTCTCTCTATTTCCAATTTAGAGTACTGAAATAACGGATAATGCATTTCACGAAGGATGGTACCTATATGGAAGGTCCATAAAACGTACATTTATGTTTATGATAATGTCTAATAATTTAGATATTAAACTGTCAACGTTTGGAAAGTACAATTTATCTTTATCTTCATTTATAGCGGTGAGTCTGATGTACATTCCATTCTATTTTATATTAGTATTCTTTTAATACTTTAAGATATTATTAAAAATTTTTATATAATATTTTAGATTTTAAATCAGTCATATTCAATCGCGCTTTTGCTATTAAAAACTACTTAATAATGTGTTGTTGTATAGATTTTACAGAGTAAGTATACTTTTTATTATATATATATAAACAAAATAAGAGAGTTAAGAAACAAACTTGTAAAACTACTTTATGTTATTCTAAAGTACATAATTTTTGTTTCAGTAAAAATAATATTACAGTGCACGGTATAACGTTAAGCTTAGAAATTTATTAAAAATTTAAATTAACAATAAGAAAAATTAGTATAAAATGTAGATATCACTGTAATAGAGAATTTAGTAGAAATAAAAATACTTATTATTTATAACAAATATAAAACGTAAAGTTATTAAAATAAAAGTACAAAAGATTTATCAGAAATGGAAGAAAGGTAAAGAAAGAAGAGAAAAATACACGGAAGAAAGGAGAAATTAAGCTGAAGGAATTGTAAGAACAGAAGCAGGGAGAGAAAAAGGAAAAGAAATAGAGAAGAAATAGTTAAGAAATTTGAGGAATGGAACAGAAGAAATATGAAAATTTTTAAATAAAAAAGAGAAAAAAACAGTGGAAAGAATGAAATATAATGAAAAAAGTATGAAAAAAGCGTTTTATGGATTGTTAACAATAAAGCAAAACAATAATAATAAAAATATTTGATAAATAATATAACGATAATATTCCAATATCTTTATGTTCTATAAATCAATAAAAATTTATACATTGCTATTTACTGTTATAATTTTTAAATCTTCTGCAAAATAAAAAGGTAGACTAAAATAGCAACTGTAAGGAGCAAACATTTATGTTAAATTATTAATTTATGATAACATACTAATGCCTAAGATTTAATATAATTTATATTTTTATTTTATTACAATTTAAAACAAACAAGTAATTCTAAAGTAGTATAGCAAACTTTATTAAAAATATTTTTCAATTAAGTAGTGTTACCTTCAGTCGGACTGGATCTTGATCGCCTAATGATAATATTTTTGTGTGAATTTTGCTTTTCCAACACTTTTTGCAACAAATATTTTTAATGACATATTTAAGTTAAGTAAAGACATTATTATTTTAACATATTTATTAAAATAGATTTGTTGTTTAGTGCAAATGAGAAATACACTATAATAAAAGAAAATTAATTTACTGTTCAGTCTGTGAATATCCGTAAAATTGCTGCAAAATAGTTTATAAATCAAAATTAGCATTTCTCCAGCACTTGAAATTGGCCTATATCAGATACATCACAATTTCTTGTCGATGACATACGAGTAAGATACTGTCAAATAGGTACTGTGACTTTTCTGGACTTTGCGGCGCATAGCACTGATCAATAATGAGCAATAAGATAATGGTTTAGTGCTAATTACAAGGAATTTCACGGTTGCTTTTAGCTCTATGTTTATCAAAAATAAATAAGCCTTTTCCTTTAGGGAATCGTAGCAATTATTCATAAACTATAATATCATTTCTTATGATAGTAGTATAAGAAGACCCTTTCTGAGTCTCAATATGTAGCAGTAGTAAGTATCATCAAGTAGTTTGTGAAATTATAGATAATAATTACATTAGAATACTCTTGGACATTCTTGCGCTGAGAGATCGTAGCTTGTCATCATACGGCACCATGATATATTCACAAAGGACAAAGAGAAATAGAAATTCAAGAGGAATAATAAATCACTCGTATTTTGCGAATAACTTTCAATGCTGGTGGAAATGTCATACATTGTACAGTAGACATAAAAAGAAGCGTAAGTGAAACATAGTCGAATACAAATATAACGGCACATTCTCTGTTTATTCCTCACACTGATGATTTTATGAAGTGTGTACGTGCTTTTTCAATAATGCTTGCTAACAGACGATAGCTGTAAAGAAAGATTAGTTTTGAGCAAAATATTATTAAGTTAAGTACACTGTTGTTGTTGTTGTTATTATTATTATTATTATTATTATTATTATTATTATTATATTAAATTATTGTCTTATTTGCAGACAACTTGCTAAAATTTATATTTTTCGTACATTTCATATAAATACAGTATAAAAAATTTTTAGCGGCAATATTTGAAGCTAAATACGTAGTGTAAATTAAATCATAAATAAATAGAATCGCGGTTCTACCAAACATTTTCGACTCTTTTGTTTTACATATTCTACTTTTCTATTTTCTGTTCCAGTACAATTCGTTACGAAACAGTGACACTAATGACATGGATTTCCAAAATGTGAATCCGCTAAATGTACGGCTGAACTTGGTGTCCGGCAATTTGTTACCAATGACCGCCGACAATTCGTCGTTTCCGATATTTTGGAAAATATACAGCGTTCTGGTATGGCTGCTCGAAATAGTGCAAACATGCGTGTTAGTCCCCGGGTGTATTTTTGTGCCGAAAGAAAAGGCTCTGAAAGATGGTCTAATCGGTATTGTGGTTACTATGGAAGTGATATCTACAATCATACGAATTCACGCATGTAGAGGACTGGTGCAGCAATTAATTCAGAAACTGAATGACATTCTGAGCGTGGAGGACGAAATGATGAGGAGTATAGTGACAACGACTATAAAATCGATGGAGATTCCCCTTAAGTTTTACTGGTCGGCCGGCGTGACGTCCATAGTACTGTGGAGTAGTTCACCGTTTGTAGTGGCCTTTCAAAAAAATTTCTTTTTCTACGTAGATTACAGGATGCCAGTTGTCTACTCCAAAGAGCCATTCACGACCGGTATCTTTGTGTTTGGAAGTATCATCGTGCTGATGAGCAGCGCGTATATTTTTACGAAGAAAGTCGGCGTGGAAAGCTACGTAATAAATGTGATGTTGCTGATAACGGCACAATATAAATACACCGCGTTAAAACTGTCTATGATATTTCAAGATAGATTGCTTCAGAGTGATGATCATAGCGAATTTAATATAAAGAAATGTTATCTTAATGCAGAAGAAAAAATAAATTATTACGTAGAAGAAAAAATAAAAGCTTTATGTCGGCATCATAATGCGATCATTCAGTAAGATTACTTTTTAAATTTCTCAAAAATGTTATAAGTACCAAAAATCTTTAGTTTTAATTAAACCTGCTTTTAATATTTGTGTTGGTTTATAATGTTTGATATTTTATTTAAAAAATAAATAAGTGTTACTAAATTATACAAAAATGATTGCAATATGTATAATTTAAATATATTATTATAATTATCTTATGATACAATGGTAATTGTTATTTTATCTTTTAGTATAGCATCTTATTATCGTATGTGGTGTTTTTTGTTTCAGCATAATGGTAATGCTAAGAAAACTACTGTCTTTAAATATCAGTTTAATATATTTAATAAACGTTTTTCGGTTCTGCTGTATTGCTATTATGATGATTTCAGTTAGTAACAATGTTTAATACTAATTTATACTCTTGGAATATGTGCTAAATCTAAAGACAGCATAATGTTACTGCATCTTATCAGTTACTCAGGTAGAACAGCAAGTCACAATAATGTCAAAATGATGGCAAAATGACGATTTTTAGATCATTTTTTATGTCATTTTGATATCATTGCGATTTTCTGTTTTACTTGGATAGTATATTACCGATGCGCTCTATTTTTTGGTAAATTTTAGATACCGTCAGTAACTTTGTGGGAAGGATTATCGCTTATACCGTACGCAGTCGGTGGAGTTGTGGAGCTTTATATACTATGTTATTGTGTGCAACAGTTACTAGATGCGGTAGGCTTTGTTGCACTACTTCTAAATAATGTACACGTTACATACAAAATGAGATTAAACTAATAAATGTTTGTAATTAATAATGTTCTATGATATGTAGAATTTTCTCTCTATTTCTAATTTAGAGTGCTGAAATAACGGATAATGCATTTCACGAAGGATGGTACCAATATGGAAAGTCCATAAAACGTACATTTATGTTTATGATAATGTCTAATAATTTAGATATTAAACTGTCAACGTTTGGAAAGTACAATTTATCTTTATCTTCATTTATGGCGGTGAGCTTTATGTACATTTCATGTCTCATTAACGTATCTAGTATTCTATTAATACTGTAACAGATATTATTACAAATTTTTGCATAATATTTTAGATTTTAAATCAGTCATATTCAATCGCGCTTTTGCTATTAAGAACTTAAGGAATGCGTTGTTGCACAGATTTTATACAGTAAGTATACTTCTTATTAAAATATAATGATTAGAAATGACGCTTGTGGGGCTACTTTTTGTTATCTTAAAGTACATAATTTTTGTTTCAGTAAAAATAATATTACAATGTACAATGTATTTAGCTTAGCAATTGATTAAGAATTTAAATAAACAGTAAGCAAATACTAGTATAAAATGTAGATTTCACTGTGACAAATAATTGTGTAGAAATAAAAATTTTGATTATTTATAGCAATATAAAACTTGAAGTTTGCAGTAACATTCTCATATTTTAAAACAGCGGCCATATATTTTTAATTATTGCCATTTTTTAATGAAAAGAGAAATTTCTTATATAATTAGTGCTTTTCTTTAATACTTCTAAGAGAATTTATCATTGACAGAACATCTAATAGTGTAAATTAAATAATTATAATAACAATTTACGAGATAAAAATCAGCTTACGACAGACGAAGAATCGTGGAAAATTGCACAGATTGACATGGCGTCACGTTGTGCGGATTTTACAATTGTGGCTTTGAGGAAATCGATAATCTTAAATTAACTAATGTATTATAAGATACTCGTCGCTTCATAGCACATGATGATAATTATACGAGTAAACGCACAGTCGCTTTTGCCTAAAGAACAAAGGAAAATTTCTATTCCATTTTTTCTGTAAATCGCCATTCATTATCGCGACATTTCTTACATTCATACGTATTCCTTTATATTCATACGTATATAGTGGACAACTCTTATTTCTAATTTATTAGTTACCCAGTAAAGCGCTATGTACCGTTATTACCGATAATTCAACAGCGACGCGCCCCTCCTAATTATAGGACAAACTCTGATAATTACAAGGAAAGAAACTTGTTTCCGCTTTAAATACGCCGTCACATGACGATGACTAACATATGGATAAAAGACAGAAATAATACAAGGGGGCCACTTAATTGTTCAAGGTGTACTAGTAATTTTTAAATATCAACAGAAATACATAGTATATTTTTATGGACAGAAATGAGTGTGTGTGCATCAATAGAAATAAGGTATACAAACTTATGAATTGCATGTACATGTTCCTCTAACACATAGTACTGAAAGTAGATCATTCATAAAACAAATGTGCACATTAAGGACAATTTTAGTTAAATTAAATTAAATTGTTTTTCTAAATTTTAAGAAATTTTAAGAAATTTAAGAATTTTAAGAAATTTTAGCTTAAGAAGAAGCATTGCTAATTAAATTTAACTAAATAATATAAGTTTTTTGACAATTTCAAGTACTAAAATAAAATAATATTACAAAATCTATATAAATTAAATCTTAATGTGTCCACGTTTACTGAATTTTATTTAATTCATGGACAGAATAAAACTGCATAAATAAGAAGAAATAGAAAGAATCAATCGAAACCTCAATTATTATGCTTTTTATTTTACAATTTCTGTTCATTTCCAATATATTGGAAGGTATACAGCTTCTTCGTGTGATTGTTCCACGTGGTTTATAAGGTTACATTAATCCCCGGTTGTAGTACCAAAAGTTAGTACCGAAAGCTAAAGCTTTTAACTATGGAGTTATATCGTCGGCGTTAGTCGTCATGACAGAAGCAGTTTTCGTAATTGCATGTGAAAGACTGAATTGTGAATTCTATTATGTGGATTTGAAAAATTCGGCCTTTTGTGCACCAAAGAATTATTCAGAGGCCACTAATCTATATATTTTTTTCAAGAAAATCAGCGTCAATCGATGTCTATATAGCACACGTGATATCATTGGTAACGGCGCAGTATCAATACATTACTTTCAGACTTGTATCGACATTTCGCAACAATGAACAGCGGGATAACAGTAGTTCAGAAGATAATTCCAGAGTAGATTCTTCTACAGAGAAGGAGGTAAAATATTTTATGTCGGCAACATATCGAAGCTATATAAAGTAAAAGTGCATTATCTACAATTGATTAATAATATTGCAAATTGCCTAAAAATTTTGAATTATACACACATTTTTTCTATAATATGTGTGTATAATATGGAATTCTATAACACAACATATAGGTAGATATATTCATTTACCTTTTGTAATATAATGGATATAAATGTATTGTGTTTTAGCCTAACATTAATGTTAAAGAAATAATTAGCTGTAAATGTCTCCTTCATATTATGCGTGAATAACATTTTTTGTTTCTGCTTTCTTGGTGTCATGTTGACTACTGCGAGAGTAATGACTTATAACATCACTTTAAAAATACATTCGCACGATTATTTAAATATAATATATATAATGTTATTGGATCAGTTATGGGGTATAACAACGATGTTTATGATACTGTAGATATCAGCGTCTTTCATAGAAGAATTAATGGTAATAATCCGGCACGGATCCGGGTCAGTCATGCAGTTCTATATATTGTGTGCTTGTTTTCAAAGATTCAAAAGCAGAAGATTTATTTTATTGTGTAACGTTAAGCATGATCAAGAGTGAAAGTTTATTAATAATTTTTAAATTAATGACAGAAATTAATTTTTTTTTTTCAAGTCGTTACTCACAATCGCAATATTTATAAGCAAAATAATTATTATTTAAATAAAAATTAAAAAATTAGAGACTATAATTCGGTATATGAATAATACTAGTTACAAAGATATATCTCTTTATATTTAGGAAAAATACAAGTTTATTTATGAATATGAGACTTGTGTTTGCAATTTATTGGTGGACCCAAGGAAAATAGATTTACAAGAAGTTGAGATAAAGAATATAAAATTTCACTTACGGACGTTCGATTTTACTAACGGATTTCCCACAATTGTTGGCACAGGCTCTCCGGCGACCGACGCCGTCCAAATTGGAGATAATTCCCGAGACATCAACAAACAATCCACTTAAATATACTAATTTACAATTAAACTCCTCGAAATTTACAATTAAGCTTCTCGAAATTTACAATTAACTCCTCGAAGGCCAACCGCACGCTTCAACAGACGGAAGGGAAATGTCTCTTCCCTTCTTCCTGATTGCTACGCGGTCCGTTTCCCCCTCGCTGGGTTCTCTGCTTGATAGAGATCGATATTATAAATCTTTCCACGCACGCGTCTCCGAAACTCGACAGCGCTTGCTAATACGCGCGAAATTAAACGAACACCTAAGACACTAAACCACACAAACATACAGACACAAGGATTGAGAATTAACATTAAGCGTGAAGTTTTCGACAATTCTTCGAGGAGTAAAGCGTTAATGTCGAGAGAAATCTTACTATCTCAATTTCCTGCCACACAACAAAAAAGAGAATTTTGATACTCGTCTTTAGCTACTTCTTAAAAATTATCACTGATAGAACATCAAATAGTAATTAAATAAAAATAACAACTTACATTAAGGATCAGTTTGCAACCGATAGAATCGTTAAATATTGTACAGACTGGTCGGAGTACTTTGCGCGTGTCAGGCAAGATCATCTGTGCGTATTTTAGATTTTGTGAGTCTGTGAGGATTCCGGAGCATTCTTGGACTGGCAATGTACCATAAGATAATAGTCGCTTTATAGCGCATTAATAAAATTGCTAAGTAAGATCATAGTCGCGTTCGACAGTGAATATATATAGTGAGACCTATATTCTCTATAAATTGTCATTTATATCGTCATTTATGTTTCTTTACAAACTTCTATACAATATTTCGTACATATCATAAATATCGTCTTTCTAAATAAACAGCTACCCAGCACACCCCTACGTTATTATCGATAATTCATAATCATATCCGCCATGCACCCCTCCAATTATAGGACAAACTCTGATTACAAGGAAAGAAACTTGTTTCCGCTTCAAATATACTGTCACGTGAAGATGAATAATATATAGATAAATGATAGAAATAATACAAGGGGACTACGAAATTGTTCGAAGTGCGCATTAGTATAATTTTATCGTCAAACATCGTCAGAAGTACTTCGCATACCTACTTCTAGACAGAAAGGAGCGTGTGGATCAATGTGAAACAAGGATAAGATACTCGCACTGTAAATTGTCATATTTCCCTAACGTATACTGAAGGTATTTCATCTATAAGACAGTATATTAAAAACAACTGTAACTAAAAACTATCTTTCTTTACTTTAAAAAACTTTAGTTTAAATAGAAATATTATTGCTAATTAAATATAATAGTAAAGGTTCATAAGATTAGAAGGCTCCTTGTTATTGCTAATTAAGTTTTTTCATAATTTTAAGTAAAATACCTCTTGTAACATTAAAATAATATTACGAAATCTGAATTAAGTCTTAATCTGGCTACTTTTAGTGAGTTTTATTTGATGCATGGACGCGAAAAAAAATGCATAAATAAGAAATAGAATGGATCATTCAACGTCTCACAATTATTACACTTTTTACTTTACAGAACAATTTCTACGTGTTATAAAGTTCTCGCGATACCGAGTTAATGCAGCAATGGACTTCCAAAGCGTAAATCCCTTAAACGTTCGGTTAAACTTGCTTTCGGGCAATCTGCTACCGATGACCAACAATTCGTCGTTTCCAACATTCTGGAGGATATACAGCGCTTGCGTGTGGTTGTTCGAACTGTTTTACGTAGTCACATTAATCCTCGGTTGCTTCTTCGTGCCGATAGAGAAAACAATGAATGATGGAATAATTGTCTTGATCGTCATAGCAGAAGCAAACTTCGTAATCATGCGAATATTCTCGCAGACAGCACTAGTACAGCAACTGATAGGAAAACTGAATGATACATTGAACATTGGAGACGAGAACATGAGGAATATCATAATAACGAATATAAAACCTATGGAGACTCCATTCAAATTTTACTTAATGATCGGCACGTTTTCCACTTCCTTCTGGTTCTGCATGTCGCTTCCGTTGATTTTTGAAAAAAATCAATTTTACTACTCGGATTTTAAAGCACCGGGCGTTTATTCCAAGGAGCCATTTTCCGTCGATATTTATCTGATCGGTACCATGATAATATTGATCAACAATATATATATTTTTGTAAAGAAGGTCAGCGTGGATGTTTATATTACGCATTTGATATCATTGATAACGGCGCAGTATCAATACATTGGTTCGAGGTTTGTATTGGCATTTCGAAATTGTAGCCAACAAGCAGATAACTGCAATGTTCTAGAAAGTAATTTTAGGGTAGATTCGTCTATAGAGAAGGAGATAAAGGATTTATGTCGGCAACACAACAATATGGTGTAGTAAGTGCATTTAAGTAACTAATATAAAATTTTATTTTATTACAAGTAATGTAATATGGCATTCTATAATATATCAATACATTAATACTCTCTGTACTAACATTTTATATAATATTGTGGATATAGATGCATTCTCTGTTTCAGCATAATGTTAATGGTAAAGAAATTACTATCTGTAAATATCGTCATTATGTATGTGAATAATGTTTTTCGATTCTGCTTTCTTGGTGTCATGTTGAGTAGAGTGAGTAATAATTTATGACATCAGTTACTTTAGAAATGCGTTCGCAATTATACAGATATAAGTAACAAGCACTGCTCCTATTGAATTATTTCAAATTACTATCAGTTATAGTTATAGCAGCGATGTTTGTCAAACCTCAGATATCGGCGTCTGTCTTGGAAGGTTCTATGGTCTTTATGTACGGATCCGGCTCAATAACGCAGTTCTATATATTGTGTAATTGTTTTCAGAAATTATCCGAAGCAGTAAGATTTATTTTAATATATATCATTATTCATTACATTTATTCAAAAGTAAAAGTTTCTGAATAATTTTTAAATTGATGACAAAATTTAATTCTCTTTTTTTTGTTAAATGGACTTATACTCGCTATATTTATGAGCAAGTTAAATAGCTAATAATCTTTTTAACCATGACTATGTTTACATAGCGGCTTATAATCCGGTTTAATTAACTACCGTGTATACACTATCCAATCAAAAATTTTTCTTCTTTTGATCATAATAATCATTTAGATATGAGCCTTTTTTGATACTTAAATTACAACTTTTAATATATACATATATATATGTGTAACAGAAGTAGCGAAAAGTAAGGTCAACCAACTAGAAGGAGGTGAAAGAGAAGCCTGAGTAGAATAAAAAATGTACATAAACTTTTGTTGTATTTGCTATGGTTTAGTAAATATAGTTAGTGCTTCAAAATAGTACTTCAAAGCGATACCTTTCTCATTTGCGGAATATGAAGACATTTATGGGTGCTTGATTTGAGAAATTATTCAAACTTTAACTTGCAATATTTCGCTTAATATTAAAAATATCCAAAAACTGTAATGTTTAGAGTACCAAAATAGGTACATATTTAAATAATCGTTAGAATCAAAAGAAGAAGAATTTTGGATTGGATAGTGTAAGGCAGTTATTAAACCAGATTCTAAGCCGATGTGTAAACGTAGTCCGTGTTTAATTAGAAATGTTAAAAAAAAATATTTTATTTCAGTAAAAAATATGCCCAATTATGAACATAAATGTCATAAATTATTAAATTGAGCATATTCTACAATTGAAAATTATAAAATGTATTATTTTGTTTGTATCAAATTTAGACTTCAGACATGACAGATAAAGCATTTCACGAAGACTGGTATCAATTCAATTTTTCCGTAAAACGTATATTCATGATGGTAATAATGGCTAGTAACAATATGGATCTTAGAATTTCATTATTTAAAAACTTCAACTTATCTTTACCTTCATTCATGTCGGTAAGATTTATGAATAATGTGTGCTATAAATTTATTATAGCTTATTTTATCAGTATTTAAAAAAATAATAGGTAGTGTTGTATAATTTTTGTTCAAATATCTTTTTAGGTTTTAAATCAATCATATTCTATTGCCCTTCTGTTATTAAGAATGCAATAAGAAATGACAAAGACAATAATATATATTTCTGAAATATATAGTAACTATTATTGTTATGTTATAAGAAAAGAAAATTGATACTTTCCGCGTAACAACTTTTCGCCCGCTATACCAAGTGGAAAGTATCAATTTTCTTCTCTAGAGAGTAAAGTAAGCCCTGGCGTGAAATTGGCCACTTTCGCCCCTCTCTAAGCATGGAAGTCGAACATTTCCGTAAAGGTGTTGTGAAAAATATCGTGTGCACCTCGGATCGAAAGCTTTTTTTGAGGAAAAACGCTACTTTCTCCCCTTGGTGCATAATATATTATTAATGTTTATCACTTGTAAATTAAAAAATTAATAGTTAAATCAGAATATCATATCAAAATAAAAGTAATATTTGTTGCAAAGGTATGTCTTTTTATTATAGAATTTAGGAAAAATAAAAGTTTCTTTATCAACATAGAAAATGTGTTTTTACAATGTATTATAATATTTTTATGTGACATAATATTTAATATGCGGTTAATGATAAAATTATAACATTTTATAAAGAAACCAATTCTTATCTCTCAAAAATCTACTGTCTTTAATAGTAGATACAGTTTACTATAGCATTTATAGGTTTGCAAAGTTAAACGTAATATTTAATTTGTATCTATTTATGTAACAGCAATATCTGTATTAAATTTAGTATAATAATTGTCGTTATATTAAAATATATTGTCACAATATATTAAAAACTTCTACTTTTTAATTTTTCTACGGTCTTTTTATTAAATCAAAAATTGAGGACGAACCTGAAGTATCAGCTTGTAGGATATGAGGATTTAATTCGTAGATAAGCCTCCTTTGAAATGTTTGCAGTAGTATTTCGCAGTATTAAACCAGGTTAATCTATAGTCTCAAGTTGACGAAGTTCACGTTGAGACATGGTCAGGTTTCGATACTTCGCAATGAAGTCGACGAAGTGCTATAAGATAATCGTTCCTTCACAGTAATGATAATTAAAAGGAAGTTTACAGTCACGTGCATCTCTCTACAATAAACATAATGAAAAAAGATCATACTGTTATAAATATTCATATATTATTGCAACATTTAGCCATAAACTTCTTCATTTGCCTGCGACAATATCTCTCTAAGTCTTTATTCGAGAAAATATTATTGATGTCTCGCTTAATTGCGACTGAAAGTAACAGAATATTTTCTTGTCCCTTTGTACGATAACGTATAATATACTAATGACAGCCCAGCAGAAAAGTAGTGACCGAAGGGGACTAATGAATAGCCGTAGATCCATGATCGTCTGAGAGCGACTTTCAAAACGCTACAGAAATTCGACGTATAAATCGAAAAGAAGTGTGCGCGCGATGATAAGATCATAATATGGACGAACAGCTTCTATGTTGTCTCTTCTATATTGTGCCGGTTTAGTATTAAACATATAGTGGCAGTCGTACGTAAACTATATCCAAATATCACGAATATTTAAAACGAAAGCCCATTGTCTAACTTTTATCACAAAGAAGAATTGCCGAGAATATGGATTTTCAAAACGTTAATCCCCTGAACGTTCGCTTAAACGTTCTCTCGGGCAACTTGCTGCCCTTGAAACCAGGTGACTCGCGATTTCCTACAACATGGAGGGTATACAGCGTATTGGTGTGGCTAATTGAAATAGTTCTAACAATCGTGTTAATTCCCGGTCTGATCCTGGTATCACGGGAAAAAGCGATGAACGATGGCACAATTCTTTGTGTAGTTACTGTAGATGTGTTTTTTATGACCGCGCGGATTCACTCGCGCAGGCAGCTGGTGAATCGACTGATTCGGAAACTGAACGACACTCTACGCTTTGCGGACGAGACTATGAAGAACGTTGTGACAACGACTCTGCAGCCTATGGAGAATCCGCTCAAGTTTTACTGGCTGTCTGGCTGGTTGGGTGTCTTCGTGTGGGCCTGCTTACCATTTCTGTTGATCTTCAAAGAGGTTTCCTTCTCTTACGAGAACTACAGGACGCCAGCAGTCTTCTCCAAACAGCCCTTCTCGTTTGAAGTCTTCTTACTGGGCAGCATCCTCCTACTGATCGGTAATATGTACATTTTTGTAAAAAAAGTCAGCTTGGATGTTTATATGATACATCTTGTACTACTGATAACGGCGCAGTATCGATTTATCTCTACAAAACTCGCGACAATATTTCGAGACGGAAACCCGCTAAGTTACTTCGATGAATCTCGTCAAAAGTACTGCTCCGGAATAGATCGATGGGTGGAGAAAGAAATGATAGCGTTATGTCGACATCACAACACTGTCGTTCGGTAAGTAATTTTGCTAAAACGTACTTATTGCTTAAGAGAAAATGCATTGACAATGGCCAATTATTAAAGGAATTTCAAACCCAAAAATTGACTTGGAATTTTCTTCTCTCTTAATTTTTATTTTAAAGAATCAGATTGCACTTTTATGTAGCTCTATGTTTAATTGTGTTATTATTTTGTCACATATTTTAATAATTTAAAATTCAATGTCATTATATGTATTAATAATTAAGTAATTTTTGACATAATATGTAAGACGAAAATGTTTCTCGTGTGCCATATCGAAGGTTGAGCAATACAAGAAATAAAGATTTGGCGGATTAATAGAATTTCTATATTTAAACTAAATTCTAAATATAAAATATTAATAGCATATTTTATGATATATCTTATGATATATCTTATGTACGAGAGCTTTGTTTTAGCTTATCATCTATGTTAAAGAAATTACTGTCTTTGAACTTCAGTATGATCTATGTGATCAGCGTCTTACGGTTTTGTTTTATCGGTATCAAGTTGAGTATAGTAAGTAACAAATGCTATAATTACTCAATTAATAATTCTATTAATGTTGACAGTTAATATATAAGTGCATTATAGACAATTGTTATCGGTTGATATAAATATGTATAATGGAGCATTCTTTTTTTGTCAAATCGGACGGGGGTGTCCCCCCTGTCCAAAAATGGGGGCAACCGAATACCGAATGTCTTTTAGGGCTCATTTTATAGCTATATGCATGTTTTAACTCTATAGCTATACTTTTGTTTTAACTCTGGCTTTTTTAAAAAACCAATATGGCGGACTCAATATGGCGGCTAAAAATTGGGAAAACTGAACTTTAAAAAGCAATATCGTTCATTAGAGCGTACTAAAGCGGTTGTTTTTTTAATGAAATCCAGTGGTACAGTGTTTTTTCCGTCCCTAGTAACGAATTTGTACTAAAACTATTAAATTTCAAAATGGTGGAATTTAAATGGCGGCCAAATGCCAAGAAAATGGTAGAAAATGATGATATTATTAACTGAGACTTATATACTGTTCATTACCAGGGATGAAGAAAACACTGTACCACTGGATTTCATAAAAAAAGCAATTGCTTTAGTACGCTTTAATGAGCGATATTGCTTTTTAAAGTTCAGTTTCCCCAGGTTTTGGCCGCCATATTGGATCCGCCGTATTGGTTTTTCAAAAAAGCCAGAGTTAAAACAAAAGTACATGCATATAGCTATAAAATAAGACCTAAAAAAATTTTTTTGGTTGCCCCCAATTTTGAACAAGGGGGGTGTCCGATTTGACAAAGAATGCCCCGTATATATATAATTTATTTATTTATAAATTATATTATATAAATGATATATTTTTACTTCAGGTACCATCAACAAATTTGCCGGAAGCTCTCTCGATTGTCATGTTTGCGTGTGGCTCAATAGTGCAATTATACTTGTTGTGTTCTTGCGTTCAACAATTGATAGATGCGGTAAGTTGTAATATAATATTTACAAAACTTATTTTTTTCATAGTAAGTTTTTAAAATTATAACTATATTCATTTATACATTGATTTATTTATTTATACATTAACCTTCCGCCGGCGTCGCCCATTCCACCGGTCTTCCGCCGATCCTTCGCCGATCCTCCGCCAACTCTCCGCTGTCCTGCGTCCACTCCACCGATTCTCTGCCAACCTTCCGCTGGCCTGAGTTCACTCCACTGATCCTCCGTCAATTCTCCGCCGACTCTCCGCCGGCTGGCGTCTTCATTTATTTCTTATTATTAAAATTAAAAGAAAAAAGCTTTTTAGTATAGACCTCTACCTAAACCCTCTTTCCTCTTACTTTTTTGATCGTAGACGGTTTTTTTTTTACTTTTTAAGTTATATTTTTCTCTCTAAAATCTCTATATATATAGAGATACATATTTATTTTGCCCGCGCATTGCGCGGATGTACCCTCGATCCGCTGACCCGCCACTTTTGGCTCACTTTCATTTTTTGGCTTTCAACAATGTTTTTCTAATGCTTTTTTTCTGTCTTGGTCTTTTTTCGTTTTGCATTAGTAGAAATTTTCCCAATTGAGCTTCTTTTTTTGGGAGGCATATTAATATCTAAATTATAAACCTAACTGGAAAGTAAGAAATGTAATATCTGCAATGCTTAATGATTTCTAGAAAACAATTTTCAATCTGTCAAACATATTTCAATTCAAGATATATAATTTTAGACAATTTTGTATGGGGGCCCCTTGTCCCCGGGTTCAGACCCCTTCCCAAAACCCTCTACGAGGGTCTAGTTAGAATATCATGAGATAGTATACCAAATTTGGTTGTTCTAATTTAAAAACTGTAGATTTACATAGCGGACAAACATACATACATACATACATTCATTTTTATATATATAGAGATTACTAAAATTCTATTCTTTTCTCTATCTTTGTACATTTAAACAAATAATTGTCAAATATACATATATTTAATTTGTGACTCTTAAGTTTTGATCTATAAATATTGCATGCAGCAACACTATTTATGAACAATAATTATAGTAATTATATAAATTAATTATTTATTATTTTTGTATGTTTCATTTAGAGTCAGCAAATGACGAATATAGCATTTCACGAAAAGTGGTACCAGTTTAGACCATCTGTGCAACGTACATTCATGTTGATGATAATAAGTAACAATTTAGAGTGCAAGCTCTCGACGTGCAAGAAATTTAATTTGTCTCTACCCTCATTTATGACGGTGAGAGTTAATGTATTTTTTATATTTTTACCAGTAATGATTATATTAGAATTTTATGTCTGTGTGTTTCTCCAAATTTCTTCTGGCAATCTTTTAGATCTTAAATCAATCGTATTCGATTGCTCTTCTTCTCTTACGAGTACATGAATAGTAATGAAGGATATATAGATTACTTAAATGCGGCATTTCTGAAATCAAAACTTTATTTTTGAAACTAATGGTAATAAATTTGTGGCTAATTTAATTAAAATTAGTAATTATATTAGAAATATCTGTAAATATTATTATGATGTAATTTCACAAAAATAACATTAAAAAAAGATTAAAATAGAAATTAAAAACAACACATCACAAATTAAATAATTTAACGATTTATGTATTTAAATAAATCTATACAGGAATTAGTTGCACTTTTGTGTATGAGTTATTTATAAACACACATTTAACTTTTTGTTTTAGAAATCATTCTTCTCATAGATCATCTGATATGAAGAAAATTTACTTTAAAATACTCACTTCAAAATGTTATGTAAAATGATATTGATACAACCAAATCTAGTTTAGCACGTTGTAGATTAATGCGTATTTTTCCGTTGATGGGATTCATATTAGACATATTAAATTTCTTCGATTCTCTGAAATTTCATTACTCTACAATTCTGCAATAATCGACAAGGAATTATATTGCTTCTTCACATCGCAATGCAAATTACAACTAAATCCATAATTACCTATGTATCATACTGTAGTAAACCTAATGAGGAAGATAAGGATAATTATTGTTGCAATAAACTCTCATTGCAACATTTATTGATGAACTTCTTCATTACTTAGCTATATGAAGAGTAGAAAATTATTGTTTAATGAGAGACATATTGCAATAATTAATCTAGGCAATGTCCATAGAAATCGTCAATAATTAAAAAAAAACAAAATATAATTAATAAGTACGTACAACGTCGCATAATATATTAATAACAATCAGAAGAAAGTAAGAATAATAGATTTCCGAAAATTGATAATGACTTACCAACGATTTTTACATCCAATAATTAAACTGTTTACCTATTTTCTTTTTGATAGAAAACAACATGCGCGCGATGATGGCATGCAAATAAAGAAGTAAGTACGTTTAATACTAAAGGTAGCTCAAGAACTAGTTATACTAACTTTGGCCATTAAGTGTCATTATAAACTTCTTTTCCCTCTGTGTTTAAAGAGAAAATTTTCAGAAAGATGTCTTTAAGAATTAGTCGACTAAACCAGTCAATTTTTTCCAAATTAACCATAATGACGTACACTTGTCCGGCATGAGCAAACGCTTCAATTTCGGTCACACTCAGTTTTAAACTCACGGTGGTATAGAATGACACACGAGCATCGAAACCTCTGAAAAATCGGTCGATTTTTATACGGCACGTTTGACAGGACACTCTTTAAAAAAACAGAGTGTCGAGATGATGGATTTTCAAAGCGTAAATCTTCTAAATATGCGAATAAACTTGATTTCCGGCAATTTGTTTCCGATGACAACGGATAACTCGCGATTCCCCGTTGGCTGGAGGATATACAGCGCCGTTACATGGCTGATTACTTTAGCCATAATCACTGGATTTTGCTTCGGGTTCTTCATGGTGTCCAAAGAGAAAGCTATAAACGAGGGCATGATCGCCATCGTGTTCATCATAGAAATATTTTTCATGATCGCCCGTATTCATTCGCACCGTGATCTGATCGTACAATTGATTCAGGATATAAACGACATTCTTCGCGTCCAGGACGAGACTATGAGACGCGTTGTAATGGCGTCTCTAAAACTGATGTATTCCCCGTTCAAGTATTACTGGGTGTCCAGCGTGACGACTACGCTAATTTGGATCGGCATGCCGCTCACGGCGGCCTTTAAAAAGAGTATCTTTTTCTACGAAGATTTCAGATTACCGTTCGCCATCTCCAAGCAACCGTTCTCGACAAAAATTTTCCTGTCGGGAGGTCTGCTGCTGATGCTCTGCAGCGTGTACGTTATTATAAAGAAAGCCGCTGTAGATATTTATACGTTGAATTTCGTGATGTTGATGACAGCGCAATATCGCTACATCTCGGTAAAACTTGAAGAAATATTTCGGAAAGGAAATTCGCAGGGCAAACGTGACAATTCTGAAAAGGAAACTTATCCTGGGACTGACTTATGGGCAGAAATTGAGATGAGAGCGATATGTCGGCATCACAACACAGTGATTCGGTAAGTAGCAAGCGAATATGTATCTAAATGTTCGTTGATAATAAATTGTCTTAAAACTACTTTTACTTCACAGCTCGCTCAATTATTGTCAAATTACCATTCCTGCAATTAAAATATCTTTTTAGTATTATTTATTTTGACTTACATGTATAACATATTGCATCCTTTGTACTTCTTTCAGCATGTCGTCTATGTTAAAGAAGTTGCTGTCCTCAAACTTTTGTTTAATTTATATAAGTAACATTTTACGGTTCTCCTTTATCGGAGTCATGTTGAGTAATACAGTAAGTAATATTTGCTAATATCAAATGTTTTAAAAATCTTTTTCTTGTAATTTAAAATGTGTAAATGTTAAAGAAATAAGAATTAAATATAATATTATAGACGGTGCTTCACATGCAATACATTTCTTTGTAATAATTTACAATTACTCAATTTGCAAAATTTATATTAATATTAGACGCATTTGATCCCGAAATTACATTTAAAAATTACAAACATAATTAAAAGAGAATAAATTTTGAAATCGGTTATTTATTTATTTGCATAAATTACAATATCCAGGTAAATGCAATGAGAGAGAGAGAGAGAGAGAGAGAGAGAGAGAGAGAGAGAGAGAGAG